TTTATCTGTAGCAGAAGGCCATGATTGATCTATTAAAAACAATACCCAAGCAAACAATACTTCAAAAATCAATTATTTAAATCTGTTTTATACGTTATGAACTACTATTTGTAGTTCATAACTTTATATATACTTTTTATTGTCCATTATTACGTTATTTAATAGTAAATAACATATCTAAAGAATATTAATATAATATTATATCTAAAACTGTTCTTCAAATTGGAGACTATGTTTTCGAATGCAAAACTGGCACATTTTTCTTATTTTTTAATGGCATTTCAAAGATTTATTGGTCTCTTTCGTATAGTTTTGAAAGTTAAATCAATTGCCCCTGGAAGTTCTGCTACAGACTCGTATCGTGTTTTATATACTTGATTTTGCATATATCCCCATAAAAAGACATCAAAAAACTTAAAGATCCGGAGATCGTGGAGGTCATCTTACAGGTCCTTCGGTACCTATCTATTTTTGAGCGAAGTTGTCATCTAAAAATGGTCTTAAAAGTCCAGAGTTATGAGTTAGGGCACCATCTTACTGAAGGTATATATTATTATAATATACTAAGGGAATATCTTCGAGTAGTTCTAGAATGACTTCATCAAGAATGTCTAGGTACCTATGTACCGAAGAGCTCCTTCATAAATTCGGTAGGCTATTCGTTGTTCCAAAATAAAACACGATACGCCAACCCCAAAGCGTCCTTATTGGGCCCTTTCAAAAATTAAATGGTGGTGTTCTGTCGACCAGTTCCTTGTGCTATGGCGATTAAAAATTCTTTGAACTTAAAAAGTAACTCCCAAAAGAATCGTTGATTCGTGTGCATCCGACGCTCGGCATCTCCAGAATGCAAATATTGAGGCAGTCGATTTTGGTACCCCTATTACTTGTTCTTTGTGTTTACAAGATGATGACGGCGTTGCTTCTATGTTTCGCTTTGCTCGCTATTCTTCAATGAATTTGTAGGACGTGGTTGGATAAAGGCTCCGCGCCTAACTAGATTTATTTTCAGACGTTCAAATGTATCTGGAAAAGGTTGTGGTCTCTCTGGATATCTAATATAAACAAAACACATTTCTATAATATAAAATATATATTTCTATAATATAAAATTCCGAAGCTTCTTGGGAATTTTCATTGCATTGTATAAAACATAGCAACATATCATATTTGGCAGAATTTTTAGATACTATTATAGAAAATTAATTAAATTGAAAGAAACACAGAAAGAAAAAATGGATAGGTAAGAGAAATGTAACTGAAAACTGACAGTCTTGTCTCTCGTAAGTTTTTGACACATTTATAATAATAATAATAATAATAACAGGTCTTTATTTATATATCTATAAACAATAAGAAATAGAACAATATAAGATAGCAGAGAGGCGAGATCTAGCAAAGCTACTCACCTAACCACCTTTTTTGATTTTAATTGATATTTATCATATTAATAAGGCATAAATATATTTTCATCCTGTTGTTCCAAATTAAGTAGTCTCTAGTCTCTATGACCTACAAATAAAGTAAAAAAAAGAAAAAAAAAAGAATTTTGAGCTTAATTTTCAAAACAATTTTATACTAATATATATTTTTGAAAAGCTTAAATGATTTCCAATTATTGTAAAAAGTAATATATAGGGCATTCCATTTTAAAAATAAATGTATGGTTGCTTCACAACTAAAAAACAGTTAGAGCAAGTAAATAACTAACTACGCCATTGGATTTTACGGAGAAAAATTCTACATTTACAATGTTTTTTAAACTCTTTAATAACTCATAAGAAAATTGAGATACGCTGGTGGCCCCATAATCTATATTTTTGGATTTCAACCTGTATCTCAAAAACCAAGAGGGCGATGAGAATTTTGTGGAGGGCATCTTTAATTAATTATAACTGATGTACCCCGTAAAATTGGCCAAAATGTACCTGTACATACTGACACTGTAAAAGGCTAACACCCAGGGTGTTAAACAGCTGAAGATAGCGATTGGGATAGGTTCAACATAGGCTAAATTTGCAAGTTCTCAATTAAATACAGCGAATTAATTTATTTCGTTCGGACACGACGGCAGCTTTTTTAAACTTTAAATGGCAATATCTTTACATTTTTGGATTCAGCAGATTATATCATGCATGGTAGGATCGTTTTCATCTATTTTTAATTTGATTTTGTAAATTGTATCTAGGCGACTGCGACCATAACAACGATGGCTTAAAAACATGTTACTTTATTATTTGTCGTTAGTTAAGTACAGCACCTTCATCTTAAAATATATTTTTACCAAACGACTCTAAAAATCATACATATTTAAAAATTAAATCATTATTTAAATTGGTCAAAAACACTTCTGCCGTGCTTAAAATAACGTACTGAATTCAAAAATGTAAAAAATACCGGGTGTGCCATCTAAAATCGGCGAATTCAGAAGTGAATTTATTTACTCTATATGTTCGAAAAATTGCAAATTTAGCCTATATTATCTCTAAATGCACTTTCTTGTGCCACAATCTTATTTATTTTATTACTGTAATTCTTTATTATTTAATGAGAAAATGAAATTTTTCTCACTCAATGTGAATGTTTATGAGTAACCACTCAGCATAGATATACAGGGAAATTTGCGGTAGATGGCAGGCATTTCATCTTTCTTGCATAGGAGTTCCATTTAAAATAATATTTTTTTTATTCCCACTTTTATGCATAATACCCTGTATAATTGAAATATTTCTATTTTATGCAGTACTAGTTAAAATAATTTGTCAAATTGTTTTGTCACCCTATTTCACCGCCATACTTTGTGATAATCCCAACACACGACACCAAGTCATTATGTTCGTATTGACCACACCTGATACTCGGAATTCCGATAATCATATTTATTCACACTCTAGAACACTGTTGTCTCACTACCCCAAAAAGCAAGTTTGGGGACTGGGCCGTAAAGTCTAATGCAGCTATTTTTTTTTTTAAATAAACAAAAAATTTTGGTTCAAATTTTTACATGGACGCAGAAAGTAATTTTAAACCTTTTTATAACATTACTCAAATCACATGGCAACTGTGAACTTTCAAATGAAATGCCCTCTGTTACAGATTACAATTTTACACAAAATTCTATGTAACTTTTTTTAATAGATAATTAATATAATCGATGAACTAATTTTTATACAGTGTGTCCCACTTAAGAACTGTACACCCTTGTGAAATCTTTGTTTATGCATCGACTTAGATACTTTCTTTTGTTGCATAGATCTCTGAAAATTGCACTAAAACGTTGTTTTGCTTATTGCTTTAAATTAAAGGCATGGCCATGGGCATGAGACTATTTAAAAAAAGAGAGAGAAGACTATGAGGAATTTCTAAAAAAATAAATTGGTAACGAATTCTTATTTAGGGGTACTTAGAAGCCAACTATACCAATTTTTATAATGTTTCAATACAGGGTGTCTGAAGTATCGTTTGCGCCTCGCTTAAGACTGTACATTGTTGTAAAATCTTTGATTATGCAAAAACGCAATAAAACCTTGTGTTTATTTTTACTTTAACCTAAAGTCATGGCCAATTGGGACTAATTTTTGATGTCAAATAGCGAGAAGGGCTGTTAGGGATTTCTTTAAGAATAACGTGTCCACGAATTCTTATTCAGGACTACATAAAACCTAACTGTACTAATTTCCATAAAGCTCGCTTAAGCAGTACTCCTGTAGAATGTTTGTTTATGACTGACACAGTTTCTTGAAGCGGTAAATCCAGAAATATTTTTAAAGATTTTTCAAAATGAAAATGACAAATTTGGCAAAAATGGCAAACTTGGTTTTACAAAGGAAACAGTATGCTGACGTCTATCAATTTTGATACTTCTACTATTTTTATTATTAGTTGAGAATTAAAAATCCTTTTTAATTAAACAAATAAAGCGTTGTAAAGTCTGTGAAGTTCATATCAAACTCTTTCTAATCATATTTAATTTTAAGAAAATCATTAGTGTCTTTCAGTGAAATCTATCCAACAAAAAAAGAGTTATCATAAACAAACATTCTACGGGAGTAATGCTTAAGCGAGGCTCCCGCGATATTTCGAGCACTCTGTATTCGAACTTCATGGAAATTAGTATTATTAGGTTTCATGTAGTCCTAAATAAAAATTTATTGGCAATTTATTCTTAAAGAAATCCTTAATAGCCCTTCTCGATAGTTCACATCAAAAATTAGTCCCAGTTGGGCATGACTTCAGGTTGATGTAATAAGAAACATAAGGTTTTAGTGCGTTTTTGAGAGATCTGGCTAACAAAAAAAAATGAAATTCAAACCTTAATCAAAAATTTTACAAGGTTACTTGTACAGTTCCTAAGTGGGACACACTGTATATGTAGACATAAGATATATTGGATAGCAAGCAGTACGTCCTCTGGCGTTAAACTTACCTACAACTATCAAAATAAGTTCTACGTTTTTCTTTTCGCTGAAATTTGGCCAGCCCAGTATTATTTTAGTCAGTCGTTTTGCGCGACGCGGGGACAAACAAAGAAAACGATGCTCCCGTAAGCGGGCGTAGGCATGTTCCAAATTATTTTCGACATGGTGCGCTTGTAGCTAACTAGAAACAACCCAGTTCCAAAATCAAAAGAGGTTATACTCGTAGGTGCGTGAATTTTTATCAAGTGACCTATCCGTCGCGGTTAACCCAATCACCCCGAACTCGCAGCCCAGTTAAAAACGATGAGGCCGCGGCACGTGGCCAGGTCGGGTGGGGCGCGGCAGGCTAGGGGTAAATAAGGGCGACGGCAAAATTCCGGCCTGGGCGTAACGGCGCAGGCGGGAGCAATGAACGTTGAAACGTACGCTAGTTGGGGTGGCTTGGAATAGGTCAGGTCTAGTCGGTCGGGGCGATGCGGCCAGGCTACATCGACGCCGTGGCCGTCGGGTAGGGCCTGGTGCAGCTGCTGCAGCCGCTGTCTGACTGACCGCTGTCGAGTGAAAAACATGGGCGTGTTGCAGGACTCTCGCGGGAAGAGGCCCTTTAAGCTATGGGACGGGCAGCGAAGTGTGCGCAAGGGGTTGGTGGTGGGCAGTCTAGAGGAGTTGGTGCAGAGAGGACGCGATAAGTTGGGCGTCGGTGCCGTCGAGCCCGTGCGGCTTGTGTTAGAATGCGACGGCACCCAGGTCGAAGACACCGAGTATTTCCGCACGCTTCCGGCGAACAGCGTCCTTCTTCTGCTACGGCCTGGGGAACGTTGGCTGCCTGCCGGCGTCGATGTCATCCGAGCAGGTAAGTAAGCGCGTTAGAAAACGTTAGAAAAATGATTCACGCTCGTAAATTAGGCATATAGGCGTGGTGCGCTTGATACGACCGCGGTTGCCATAGAAAACGAACGATGAAAAGGCGCCGAATCCCGTAGAAACCGGCGGTTAATGAAGCTCTGTTCAGTTAGATCACCGCACCATCTATGGGCGGCATATGGATTACTCGACCGTTTGTACCCAATCGTTTTACACTGACAATTTCTTTATTACGTACAGAACATATATATTATTATATTATAATACAATTAACGTGTGTATGCTATATTCCATAAACCGCAATTATAATTTGTCAACTTGTAAGAGTTATTATTACTCTACGCTCTATAGCAACGGGACGTTCTTTAGTAAACCTCGAAATTTCTGCAATGATATATCATCCCAGAAACTTACCAGGCAATATTTGAGCCGATAAATGATGAATATACTGTTCACATAGTTTTAGTAATTAAAGGGTGCGTGGTGCGCCGAACCCGTCTGAACAAACCCCGACCCGCACACCGTTTGTCATGGGTGGGTTGTTACGATCTACGATTTGTGGTACGCGGTTCCATTGATTGTGGATATATTTGTGTTAGTCAAAGAAGGCTGGTCAACCGATTGCATTCAAAATATACATGATTGTCGTTAGTTCAGTTGTTCTGCATCATTAGAAGTAATTAGAGGAAGTTATGTGCAACGCATTAGGACACTTTTCTCGTTTTTTTAGACGGAATGCCATCTAGCACCTCTTTTTAGTTTTAGTAGTACATGACCACTATAATAAATTATGCTTACGGAGGCAGAAGCAATAATTTGCTCATCGCTAGCGCCGGCTGCCAAAACGCCACAGAAGTAGCTTGTGTATGGGTCGTATAAGTTTATCTTTTGGTTTCTCTGAGTTCACATGACTCAGTATTTAATAAAAACTTCCTTTTGACGTCCTCACAAATTGTTTAAATGGTTTAGGGTGCTTTTTCAACTCTTTCTTAACCAATTTTAACCACCATTTATTTTTATTTTCTAGCCTGACCCACATTGTTTCGACGTTAGGTAGCAAAATTTTATTAGCAACAGCAATAAAGGCAAGGGCAGCATTTTTTGTTTTCTTTTTTTTTTTAGACAAAATTCCACCAATTTCAGTGCTTCCAGTACTTGGGTTGGTCATCTTGGGGCGCTTATCCCAAATACTGTCAAACTCTCACATCTAACATCCGAATTTATGTTGGCTTTGAAATAAGCTTATTAAAAAGAGAATATTGTCATATTTACTTTTTCTGGGGTTTTTATTCTGAGAGTTGACATATTTTGATAGTGAATTAACCAAAAATCAAATGAATTTCAATATGAAAGTTTGGTTGGTTGTAGCAAAGTGCTTAATGCGAAGCTTGCGTTTTTTTGTAATACCACGACTACGCGGGATACTTCTGCCGCTTCCTGACGGCGCATATAGAATAATTGCCCTCGGGAGGTATGTACGAGTCGTAGCCAGCTGACTCATCCACTCAAGCCATAAGCACGTTCAATATTAGATCAAAGCGCAACAGCAGCAACTTGCTTCAAGCGTTTATGCTATAAATTGTATATTAACTTTAACATGTTAGTGTATGATATTCCGGATGAAGATGCTTACCGCTATCAAGAATTGAATTTAAGTTGATGGTTTACAAGTGCTAAACAATTTATAGATAGAAAAAAAAACGTAATTTTGAATAAAAAATAAGCATATACTCATTATATCATATACATATTTTGTTTTTTATGGGAAAGAAGCAGTCGTATCCTGGGCAAAATCTGAAGTTTGATTTTAGATAATTTCTGTATTTCTGCAAATTTTGGACTTGGTACCAACCATGGTGATACACGAACTTTGGATAAATTGTTGAGTATTCCAAAAGTTTCATATTTCGGTTTATTTAATTAAAATAAATGTAGAGCGCAGTAAGTATATAAAAAAGTCGCAATTGCAGCTCAAATTAAAAAACGGAGATAATTTCCATCTTTGGTTCTTGTTACTTGCTCCTTTTTGACTATGGTAGTATAATTAAATTACCGCTAATTATATTCTCGAACTTCCGTGGTCCTTAATTTTTAAACTTTTGAGTTGTGATAAAGTGTAAACTAATTAAAATTCCAAGGCTACTGAGCTTATATACTACGGCGCTCACCCGTGATATGCTTCGTCAATAGATTTTATATCGTAATGTTTCAGGACTAAACCCTTTTCTATAATCTATTTTTTTTAATTCCGTATTCAGAGACGTTTCGTCAAACGGATTTTTCAATCGTTTCTAGTTGGGTAGCTTCAGAATGATTATTTTAACGTCTATTTCCTAGAACATCTAATAGACGGATAAAAACATTTAAGATGAGAAAGAAATGTACGTCTATGTTGGTTGCAGATGATGAAGGTATCATCGAAGCTAATAGTTTCCGTATTTATAACGTATTCAAAACATTCTATTCATTCTATATATGTTTACTACCAGTGGAGACAGAACAAACCCGTCAATCAAACTTTGACAATATTTAAAGATTCCTCCAAATTAAGGACAATAGTATTTCTACTGTAACAACCCTGCAATGGGTGATTGACTAAAAAAGGGAGTATGCATTAATGCCATAATATACAGTGTGTTCCGTTCAAAAAATATAAGCGTGATTTTCCATATACTTATGAATCACTCGGTTTATTTGAAAATAAAAATAAATTGTTTATTTTAGTCACATCTATAATTTTTGTATTTCGAATTTTTCTCTAAAACAAATAATAAACGAGATATATTATTTTGACACACTATTTTTACACCCTATATATATAGCTATTACATCTACCAAAATCAGGCGTTAGTCTATTATACATTATTTTCTTTGAACGATATACAATGCAAATTAGATAAAATGCACATTTTACTTTCCATATATCCTATATACTTTTATATTTAATTGAATTAAAGAAATTTGTTATTATTATTAAGTACCAGGCCACTAAAACAACAGTTTTAGAAGCTACAAAATCTGTAATAGAAATGTACTTAAAGCACTTACTGTGTGTGCGAAGTGGCAATACTGAAAATGTTTAAATTATTTTATAGCGGTTACTGTCAGTATAGTAATTCTTTAAAAAGGGAAAAATTTTAATACCCCGGAAGACTTTAAAATTTCTATTCCACAAAATTTTCTTTGGAAACCAAAAACCTGAGTTCTTGACATCGAGGAATAAAAATGAAATAGAAAAATGAAAATGAAATAAAAATGAAAAATTAAAAATGAAATGAAAGGATTCTATCTTGCCAAATTTCTCAACAGCATTTCCATCAATGAATGGCAATTTTATCCTATCCTATATAACCAAAAAAAAAGCGTGCATGGTTTTAACCTTTCAAACTCAGAAGTCCTGTTTTGCTCATTTTGGGTAGTTTTCAATATCTCCACAACAAACATGGCAACACCATTCTTGGGGTAAACGTAATAATAAAATTATTAGGGAGAATAGAGGTAGAAACTAGGTTATTTACTATCAACTTCAATAAAATAAATAGATAAAGATTAACGTCGAACAAGTAGATCTGAAGCCTCAAATATTAGTGGCCATACCGACAAGTTGTTGAACAAGTAATTTTGTTAGTCTAAACAGTTGAATAAATTTTAGAAACTTGAATTCGATCCGCACATCCTTTCCAATCTCAATCTCCGTCCTTCAGAGCATCTTAATATTTTTTCGTAAAACACTTATTTAGTAGTAAAAATATCTGGAGTAAACACATACACAAAACAGCAAATGTGTAGGTTATGACTTGGATTTTTTGCGGTTCTATCATGCATGACCAATAGAACATATTTTTTAATAGAAATTTCTCAAGCATAACGCGTTTTAACATTTAGGGAAACGCCCACTTTTGGCAACTGGCTCACAACGTTTCTGTTCTCTAAAATTTAAGAATAGTGACCCAGGGGTATAACTTAAATAATTCCGTTCGTTCGTTTCCAATATACTTCTAATAATCCGTCAACAGAAAGATCGAAAACTTTTCAAAAATCAAACTTAAGATCGTCCGCACCCGGATTGCTCGCCAACCTCTAACCACCATTTGTTCCAGTAGTTTCCGCCATCCCTCGTATCGTATGCGAGACGATCAACGCGTTGGAACTGCAAGATGAAACGCCGTCGTGGAAGATTATGGACAACAAGGGCCGGGTCACCGTGGTACTGCACTGGGATCAGCGTCCTGGCGGGCGGGCGGAGGCGCCCTCACCCTCCAAGTTCTCCCCGAGTAAGCGGGCGCCGACGACCACGGCGAAGAAGCAAGACACGATAATCGACGGTAGCCTGCAGCCACCACCGCGTTACGCCAGCCCCCAGATCACTGTGATAAACCACGACGAGGTGCGACCTATGTCCGCCGTGACAAAGCGGGCCGGTTCGTTAGAGGGTGCCGCGGTGCACGTGCACACGCACGAGTGCGCGCACCACGTACACATGCCGCGTGCCGGCAGCCCGCAGAACGGCACCATCGAGTGCGACTTTCATTGCTGCGCCCTCCACGAAGAAGGGAGGAAGATTGCCGTGCACAAGTCGGTGGCGACGTCGCCCATACAGGAGGCCTCAGCGCAGGCCTCGCCTCAACCACGACACGTCCGTTTTTTAGGTAACAATATTCGTTCCGTTTAGTTTTGTTATTTGCCCGTGGATATAAATTCTGCGAACGCGTCTTCCGCGCATTTGCTTTAATTCTCTTTGCCCGGTAGATTTTCTTGCTTTTATTTCATTTGAATTTTTTTTGTACCTCCCCACTTGTCGCGCATCATCCAACTGCTTAAATATATTTTAAATAATTTGTTACTTTTTGTTTAATTTTTTTTCTACTTTTGCACTTAAAACTACAGGAACTTAAACATCGCGTGAATTTTACTTTCTATGTACCGAGCGTTTAATTTATCTTGGTAAAATTTGAATTGATTGTAACTTTTTCGTTTTTAGAAATATCAAGGTAAACAAAAAAACATAATGTATGTTTAGCAGCCAAGTTTTATATAAGCCTACATCATATATTTTTAAATGGAACGCCCTCTATATTATATATGTGTTTAATAGAATATCTTATTCCGATTACAATGATATATTTTAATCCACTCGTTTTTGACAAATCGACAAAAATAGGAAATTTTTATTAATTTCAAAAAGTGCAATGACTGACAAACAAAAATTGTTTTTCTACTCCCGGCTGTAAAATACCTAATTACACACCGATCTAGCGTGCGGGAACCGTCACTTTATCGCTTCAGTGTCGTTTCCCACGGATCCGAGCCACTTCGGACATTTCCGGGATTTTAATGCACGGGTTTGGGAGCAATCGGATGTTTTCGGAGATATTTCCCACGTCTTGAATTTCGACGTTTGTCAATTCTGGCGGTCATATCAGTGAATGAATTCCGATACTGTACCAAAAAACTTTTTAAGTCACTCATTTATTAAACACTCGCTCCGCTCGTGTCAAACTCGTGCTTCAAATGTCGTTTACCGTACTTGTTGCATAATTTACTATTATGTTTGAGATATTAGTAAACAACGTAGATGGTTCAATTATTGTCCAAGTCATTATTGTTAAAATGGTTTTTCCCAAATTTAGGATCGGTGAAAGGAGTGATATGTTTCAAGTATACTTTCTGTCGTCAGTATATTAACTTTATCCAAAGCGCCGAGCTCCTTCAAAACAGATATTTCCAAGGGGGGCAAAGAAATTTGCGGAAAACGGTAACGGATTAAATGCGAAAAAATTATGCTGGAATCATAATGTTTTAAATGAAAAAAGTAAGGCAAAACATATTAGGATTCTATGAAGCACATCCAGTTTCCTCTATTACCAGAGTATATAAAGAGACTAGTATTCCTCGGGGATCAATCCACTCAGTTTTGAAAGAATATAAATATTATTTAAATTTCGTAACACTCAAAAACTAAATGCAGAACAATGTCAAAGGAGGATGCTTGTTTGGATGGATGTTTTGTTTGGATTTTTTTAAATAGACATAATGAGAATAATAATTTCTTGAAAAGCATTTTATGGACTGATGAAAGTTCGTTCACCACAAGAAATGGTTGTAATATACAAAATACGCGATATTGGTCTTTAAATAATCCTATACAAATACAGGACATAAAAACCCAGGGGTACCAATCAATTAATGTATGTTGTGGTGTCACAGGTGGGCATATTTTACTACAATATATAGAAGATTTATCCCAAAATATATCAGGGCAAGACGGTGTCCCTCCTCACAATGTTGTGCAAGTTTCTTAATATGGAGTATCCCAGGGGTTGGATAGGGAACGGCGAAACTATGGATTGGCCAGCCAACAGCCCCGACTTAACTTTAATGGATTTTTTCTTTTGGGGACACATAAAAAATCAAGTGCACAGAACTTTGTTGTAATAATATCGTATAACTTCGGCAATGGATTTCAGACTCAATCATTCAGTTAAGAGACAATCCGGAAACGTTACTACATGCAAGACATCATACAATTAAAGTGTATGAGAAATGTGTTCAGGAAAATGGTGGTCACATGTGGTCAGAAAATTTTTACTTTAGTGTGTCTTGTCATTTTTAGTTTTTGTTGTTCTACTTTAATTTGTAAATAATGATGGTTGTCAATCACGGCATTCTTTGAAATTATATAAAAATTTCCTATTTTTGTCGATTTGTCAAATACGAGTGGATTAAAATATAAAGTATTTTATTAAACACATATATAATATACAGGGTATTCCATTTAAAAAAATATGATAACCCTAGATTTTGTTTTTTTGTTTACCTTGATATCTCTAAAAACAAAAAAGTTACAGTCAATTAAAATGTTATCAAGTTAAATTGAATGCACGGTACCTAATTTCCCAGGTCGTTAATATCTTGCAAATATCTCTTTAAATCACTCTGCGTGATTACTGACAATGTGGTACTACCCGATTCGACGCGGAGGAATGCTCGATACCTTTTCTTCCCAGTCGATCTCTCCTGCTTTATTAATAACAATTTTCGTTCGTGCAAATTAATTAAGCATACATATTATACATCACATATTTACTAATAATATTGAAACTAGAATATATATATTGCGACATATACAGTGCAAGATTCTAAAATATAAACATACGTATATTAGAACGAATTTATTTTTATTAATTTTAAAATTCCAATTTCCATACGTTTTAAATTGTGAAATAGTTTTGATCTCATAACTAAAGTAAAAATATACCTGTATTATGGTAAATAGTGGCGGACAATGTCTCAAATCTGTAACTAAATTACAAAGAAAATAAACAAAGTTCTCGTCAGTCAAGATTTCCAAAAAACTATTTTTTTCTTGCTTTAGAAAACAAACATTTTGTATATCAAAAACAAATTGCAAAATATTGCCTAATATTCTTGTATAACATATTTGAAATCCAAATATTACCAATACGTTATGCGAAAAATACCATAGACCAAAATAGCTTTCTAGTTTTCTGTTATTCCCCCATGACCAAAAGTTCTACTTGATAATCCAATTTAAATTAACTATCTAACTTTAGCAACTTTAGTGGAATAGGACAAAATTCCCATTAAAGATGTTCAGCCAAATCTCAAACATCATAGTTTTGGTTAGTTCCACGCTTTATTTCAGGATAGTGGTGCTATCCAGGGTTTTGAAAGCCAACGTCGATTATGAATTTTTAATCTTCCTTTCCAGGACGTTGACCTTTTTAGTAGTTCTAATATGTAATTTCTGCATTAGAGCGCGCCTATTTCAACATTAAGTTCAGATTTATTTTTGCACATTTCAAATTATTTGGATTTAATTTTGCCACTCATCGAGAGATGCCAGTACAATTTCAATTTGCGATATGTAGGTCACGTCTATACAGGGTATCTCTCAAGGTTTTGAATTAAAAATTAACTTTCATGCAATTTGTAGCCATCTCGCACCAGTCTGGTACGTTCCCTTCATATCGTAGGCGTTTTTTCTAATGGTACCCCCGGAATATCCTATTGCAATATCGGGCAAAGGGAACGCTTCGTCATATGCAACAAATTAACTACCACCTTTTAGTTATCTTCGGTCCTATCTAGATTAATTCAAATTTTTGACTGTTTGAAGCCTGAGGTCTCAGAGCGCAGGCACAGTATTGGAATGTTTCCAAATTGCCTTTGTGCAGACCCTTATGCGAAGGAACTTTATACTTATTAGTAGTGGAAGTCCTGGTTTAGAACCTTAAACGAAGGATCTGGCTTCATGTCAGGCCCAACTCACCAACCCTTTTTCACAAGATCAGCTAGACTTTCTAGGAAGTTTTCAGCTCGCCTAGGAAAATATTCAACAGTATTTAAGACACGATTGAATTAAAAACATAATCACAATCAAATATTAAAACACAAAAATTATTTGTTTTGAAAACAGTAGACACACATTCGTGTTAAAAATTAAATTAACACTCTTGGATCTTCTTTCGCTTGCAAAAACAGATGACAAATAAAAATGCTGTACTTGAAATGTACCGTATTAGATCTATGTCAATACGGTCCGGGTATTTCAGACGTTGAAGGTGGCGGCCGAGGCGCCCTCTCCGAGCACGAGTCCTCCGAAAGCGAGACGGAGAACACCGTGATGGAGGACGAGGCCGTCACCTCCGAAAAGTTCCTGCTGCTCATCGACCAGCTAAGCGTCGACCAGAAACGCCACCTGTCCATCAAGGATATCGGCATCATCCTCGAGCGGCTAAGCTCGAAGATCCTGGACGTGGAGCGTCTGGACCGCGAATCCGAATCGGACGACTGCTACAACTGGACGATCAAAGCGACGATCCGGGGCGCGGACATGCGCGAACTGGGCGTCATCTACAACGGCAACTACTACGCGATCTCCGAGCACCCGGGCTACCGGGAGGAGAACGAGGGCGTACTCGAGGAGGCCGAAGAAGAAGAAGAAGAGGAGGACCGGCTGTGAACCTGTGTCTACTGCCAATCATTGCGCACAATCCGACGACGAGCGGACTATAGAAACCAAACACACTCACACATACACGCGGTGCGAAATCACATATCGGATGTGGGACGAACGAACGCTGGGCCGGTTTTAAGCGACGTTCACCGCGCGCCTGGACTCATTTCTATCTGCTTTGTACTTTTTATAAATTACTTACATGTCGGATGTCGCTCTCGCGGGTAAGTCTACTCGTCCGGATTTCCGTCGGAGGCCGCACGACGAACCAGTGTTCTGCGCCAGTTGAACGACGAGCAAGTAGTGACAGGTACCATTCGCCGAGCGCCTCGCTAAATCGCGAATAATCATTGTACAGGTCCGTCTCTTAAAAATAGCGGGGCACTCTATTCTTCTTAAAGAAAATCCGCGTCAAATTCCGGCGCGCTAGCTTAGAAAATTTCGATATGAATAACGTAATGACTGATCAGTTTGCTCTTGATAATCAAGCGGAGTTTCCACGTGCATGTTTTACCGGTGTCGATGTGTCGTCAGTTTATTGAGGCTATTGGTGCCATAGTTACTGGCTCTAGTAGCCATTACCACAGATCTGCTTATTTTTTTACTGGCATAACCATCACAATGACGTTTGGTGCGATTCCAAAGCCACCAAAGTCCACTTGCAAGTAACTTGCGATAGTTTTTTTGCCAAGTATTTAAATTGTTTTAAAATTGATCACCTGATTGCCTCAAGTGATTCTAGCGAATGCGTTTGCCCGAAAATGTGTACACGCACTTTAGAAAAATATCGTCTCGGCAATAATCTGTTGCGGTTGAGACATGGTTGAGTTAAAAAACAAATTCAGTGACAAATTCAGCGGAGCTGCTATCTGAATTGACAATGGAAGAACCACAGCAGTTAAAACATTTTTTACTTATAACTGAGGAGGAGATTTTTTTGCTCAATTTGATGAAAAACGAAATATTGAAAAAAAAAGATACCAAAATGCGAGAAACCAACACTTCGCTTTTTAGCAGCAGTGAATTACTTAAAATAACACACACCTGTACTAGAAATTTTAAATATATTTTCATTGTCATAAACAAAAGTAATATAATAATAATAAAATATAGTGAGATAATCCATCTACCAGCAATAATTTTGCATTAAGAATGAAACACATTCAGTAGCTAGTTTCATATTCCTCGTCTCTTTTTCTCTTACCAAATTTCAAAAAAAATTACAATTTGCTTCCAATATTTTGAAATTTGCTTAGATTAGCCGTGTACAAATTTAACAAGTCAGCAACTACTTGGCTTGAGAGTAATTTTCCATCAAAATTTGTCTAGCGGTGCTGTAACTCGTGAGTTGTAAAGGCAAATTTTCATACACGTGAACACGAGGCTTTAACCACTAGCGGCGTCAAAAACAGGTAGACACATTGAGCAAAAAGTGTAGATCTTACAATACCTTTAGTAAATCTTATCACAACACCCCAACAAAAAATTATACTTGGCCCCTTGACTTTTAAATGTTCTTCTGAAATTTCAAAGACTTGGAAAGGTATTGAGGATTACATATGACCCAAAATCGAAAATAATCTTGCTACTCAAATACTGCTGCGTTCACTATCCAATGAGTTAAACTTCTTGGCATAGTTTAAGAGAGTTTGGGGTAAGAAGTTTTTTCTTTAAAATGTAAGCAATAACCGAGGCAATAAGTAAAAGAGCAAAAAAGGTTATTATCTCTTTTTAGTGCCTAAAAAAGCCGAGTTATTAAAAAACCTTGGAAAGTAAAAAAAATATTTGAAGTGAGGTACGATTTTTTCAAAGAAATGTGTTAAACAAGGCATACTTATGAGCAGATTTGAAAAATAAAGTTAAAAGAAAAGAATTAGGGTGTTGTTTGCATCTGAATAAAGACAAATTTCTCCAGACAACTTCCTCGGTACTTTCATACTTTCGCTACTGTACATGCTAGGATTAGAAATGAAGACGCGGTTGAAAAGAGCATTGTCAAAACAAGTTTTATTATTTTATAACAAATGCTATTCGCGAGTTTCCAAGAATTTAGATATTGACTATAATATCGCTTTTAAGTAAGAAATGTTGAATTTTTTACGTGCAACAGACATGTAATACAGAACCGACCAGCTGAGTGGCGCCACATGCATTCGGCAGCTCCGCTTAAAGCCGTAATTTCTAAACGGCCCGTGTCACAAGAAATCGACCAAAGCAATTGAAATGTTTCAAATTAGATAACGGTACATTCGGAGTAAATTTTAAAAGTAAACTGGTCGTCAACAAAATTTTAAATATTTTTCGAGTTCTACCCATAGTTTTACAATTCTTTGAAGGTTCAGATTTTACGGACTGTTTTATTTTCTTCTATAATTTGTAAAAACGATCTACAAATGAAATTGAAGAAACCATTCTCAAGGTTTGAGATACCGTTTACTTTGATATTGTGCTTAAAATTGGTTTCGAAATTAGGGGCGACTGACAACGGCGAGTAGGGCGGGGATGGCAGTAGGCGGCTGCCGTGCGATATCCGGGCTCAGTCAACACACGATTCTAGTCGATTTAAGGTTAATTATTTTTAAGACATTATTAGCAAAGTTCATAGACACGAAAACTATTTATAAACAAAGTTGTTTAGATAATTACAAATATTTATAATTGGGTTACGATTGTACATTGCTCAATTACCCTTGTTTTGATGAACAACGTGTATTTCACATTATTAATGAGTATAATACGAGCGAATCCGTTGTGATACGATCGCCAGTATCGAGGGTGATCGTCGTTACAATTACTAAGTATATAAATATAGCTAATTTTTTCATGAGAATGGAAAGGACTGTGTAGGTCTATATTAGATAACATTAAAAAAAAAAACAAATTGCGGGAGCTGGGGGGCGGGGGGTAGGAAGGAGCGGAAAGAGGCCACTCGCCGCCCGTTTTTGTGAAATTTTGTGTGGGCTTTTCAAGGCCGAGACCAAACTCGCGCTCCTGCAGTAGGACCGCGTGCCACATGGAGTAATTCTACTATCGACTAAAGTCAATATGTCAAATAGCGAGGTGGTATCGATTAAGCTTAGATTTTAAAAAGGTTGGGTTATACCACGAAGAAAAATTTATAGAATAGCAGAATTGAAGAAAAATAGAGATGAAAAATCTTATAAAGCATAGTCCACAACTTCAGAGTTTTGAGAGCGACCCTAATCGACCTATATAGATAATTAAATTTCCTTCAGTTAGTTTTTACGCTCTATTAAATCAAAAATTAATGTTTGGTTCATTTTGATGAGTGGATATTAATGGGAAAGGATTTTTAGCAATATTGACTTCAAAATTTGATAAATTGACATTGTTTGAAGTAATTTTCAAATGTTGTAGCTAAAATTTCTAAAAATGAATAACCAAAAAAGACGAAAACAACTTCATGAATTCATTCAATGAAACGTAAAATGTTTAATAACTATAGTAAATTTCATTAAATTTTAAAGGTACATTATTAATGTTTATCTATTAAAAACGAAGAAGCTGTAGATCCGAGTTTGTAAGAACCTTTATCTCTATTTCTAATTCTATGTCTAACACCCTATGGGCTGCAATATTCGCCACTTGCACCGGTTTTCATTTTAAACATTTTCTCAAAAAAATACCTTTTGTGACGTAATTACGCTTCATATCGGTACCCGAAGTAAGTATAGTGAGGATGTCAATCAATATGGTCAGTGGTTTTTTATCTAAGTTCAAGAAAGTAGGTACAATAAAGCAAAATTAACAAAAATAAATTAATGGAACGCATTGCGAAGTTGCTAAATGAAAATGATAACTGTTAACAGTATTTTAAATTATGCAGCATAATTCAATTGCGAGTTTATTGGCCGTGCTCGTTGATGGTAGTTTTATGTAATAATAATAGTATTCTGTAAATTTTCATAGAAGGTATAACGAGTTCTCATGCAAAATATGACATTTGATAAGCAGAAGTAACCAAAATTTTAATACAAACTGACCTATTTAAAATTCAAGCTTAAACAACGTGCCAACGACCCTCCGTTTTCTAAGCGGTATTTACTTTGCAAATCTTCTCGAGTTGGGAAAAAAATAGAATTTGACGTCACGTGGACCAATCGCATGGCGTCGGATGACACTATCGATGTTATTATCGATAATAGAATGATATAATGGAATCTACGTGACACGCAGTCCTGCATTGGGAATTTGTCGCCCCCGCCCACCCCGGATCCTAACCGTTCGAACAACACTGCCAACTACGACAAGAATCGTCGGCGATGTGATGGAGCATTTTCTCGGAGAAAAAGAAACTCGCGTAAGTACTGCGGTGTAGGAAAGCAAGCGAAAAAATGTTTCCTAAAAAATTTACTCTTTGCGGTTAATGACGGAACATTCGAATTCGATTAAGGTGCTGCCTCACCATTAACATCACAGGCCATAAAAATGCCACTTCTTAAAAATTGAAACAAATTAACACTGATTTTGTTATCTACATAATAAATACGGTGTTTGTAATTTTTAGTAATAAAAAATGTAGCTCGGGGCATCGAATTTGCGACACCTCAAATGTTATTTTGTTCAAAAAATACGGCTTTAATGCCACAAAATGTGAGACACCCGGAATGTATGCAAAAAATGTTATGTCAAATATACAAATGTTTTTATTTGTAGATGCTTCATATCGCTGCTCTTTAAGGTAAATGCAAAGGGTGACACAAAGTCTGAGTTTGGATCAATTTAGTTAGATCAGTTAGGTCAGAAAAATGGCAATATAACGCCATTATTGTTTCTATTATGAAACAGCTATTTATCAAGATCCAGTCATTGCTACACTATGCGTTTGGATATTTAGGGTTTCATTTATTTTCACAGTTTAATTGTTAAGTTGCCCCTCCAAAATATATTCATTGCGTTTTTGGCACATAATTTTAAAAAATGATAACGTTTACTTCAAGAGTCATTTAAATATATATTCGACCTAAATATCACATTAAAAGGCTTCGTTAGATTATCTTTTTACCTTCATGTCTTACTGGAAACAAAGCAAAGAACATAATGAAATAAGATGCGTGTATGCGCTATGAGAGAAAATGGCGACAGATTTCCCCAATAGATATTGCACCGTTATGTCTCATTTACCTTCAACTTTTGAATTCCTAATCTTGTACAGTTATTTACCAGCAAATTCAAAAACGTGCAAAAAAATCGTCAGCTAAAATCATGGAGTTTTGACTATTTTTTAATAGTGAGACAAATATCTATTTTTTGTTAAATTCGTCTTGACGATTAGGGGTGCAGGACAAAATTAAATTTTCGCACACAATTCTTTCCTAAAACTGACAACCCGTTTATCTGTCAAAGTAATAATAATATTTTTTTTAGATTTTAGTTTATATCTTCAGGTAAATATAGAGTGTTTAAACAAAAAACCAGTTTTATGTTCAATATTTGTCACATTGTGTGCGAATTCCTGTCAATACTATCACGTGTCTGTCAGCATTTTGTTGGCTTGGTCGATATTAGTCCATATTTCTCTGGTAATGTTTTCTACATCACCCAAGGAGGCTTATGATCGCTAAGCTACTTGATAGCGTAAATGTTCTATGGTTTGGCCTGCGTGGAGACCAGTCGAATGTTTTAATATTCCCCTCATTTAAATATTTTGTACTATTCTTACAGTATGCGACAAAACTTATTCTTATTTCATTTAGTAACTGTGATGAAGACATGAAGACTGGTTTTTCTTAAAACTCTCTGTACATGCTTAAAACTTAAATTTCAATTAAATTGTGTTTCATAAGATTATTTTTGAACATGCTACACAACTTTGAAGTTGAACCAAATTTAATGTCGCCTTAATTTTGATGCGTTTACAATAAGAACCTTCAAATTGTTATTGTACGTAAGTTTGTTTTATATTGGAGTCGTTCTTTGCCCTGTTTTGGTAGCCGTACTTTGGAATCTATCTGTTTAGCAATTTGATTATGTCTTTGTACTTAAATCAGAAACCGTTTTTAACGAATCTATTTTCGAGGGGGCCGGAAAAATTTTGCATTTAATAATTCGCCTTTTCACTTCCATACCGCGTTCTGGCTCGCACCGCCCTCCAGAACGAGTGATTACGAGGATTACCAATTCTCTTCGCTCTGATTTAAAGAGATTTCAATAAACGGGGCGATTATGTCGTCATTAAAAATCCTCCGGCACATCGCCGACGAGAATCGTCTATCTCCGTGCAAGAGATAGTGAGCGAGGGGGCGGTGGTCCCACGCGCACTTTTATTCCGGCCGGGACCGCCGCCGAGCGACGTAGAGTGCGCGGTCACTGACCCGCAGACACACTGCCCCAATTGCGCCGCCGGGGAGTGCGGGGCGAGACGGGGTCTCGTTCACCCTCCCCCCTTTTACGCAATATCACTTCGTTTTCCTAGGTCTTTGCTCGCCGCGTGCCATGGCTGGCGGCGGGAGAAATGGGTTTGTTGCTGGCGCGCGGTGCGGGGTGAATTTTTTTAAATGGGTCGGCGGGGAGGGGCTTCGCTCCTCCCTTTGATTTGCGACGTTATCGATCCCGTTTCGTTACGTTACCTGTAGTAGTAAGAGAGGGTCGGAAGGGGATAAGGGGTTTGTTTGATGTTTATCGAAACGCGTACCAGTGTGTTATTACGTCGTTGGCGTTCGCGTTATTAGTTAGAGATTTCATCGACATCTGATTACTTTCGTGGTCGTTTACCCGACAGCATGGTGAAAATGCCATTGTGCCATTTGGAATTTTAAGTTTAATCGGTGTAATTAGCGCCGGTTCCGTGTCAGGTGGCGATTTGGCCGCCCTATACCTAAGAGCTCTAAATTGCTTTCTAGTACTCATCCATAATTTGAAGAAGAAGTTTAGTTTAGGACATCACCTCGTATACATTCCTGTGAAATTGGAACCCCACAATTTAATGCGAGATAAAAACCTGAATCTGAACTAAAATAGTCAGGCACCACCACAAAAATTTGAATTTTGGTCTTTCTTGGTCGAACTTAATTATTTCATGTACATTTCTTAAAAAATACGATTCTAATATTTCTTCTAAAGAGACTCCCTCCTTCTTCGCCTTCATGTAGATTTAATCTAATGAATTCGAAGCAAAACAAACACTACATGAATAACGTCATTGCCAAATGTACTCGATGATTCTTTTTGTGCAAGAGCACCCAGGGAGGAAAATTATTAATTAACAATCTGAATTTTTTTATGAATTGTTTAAGATATATTAGTTACAATATTTGCACAGAAATTGTGATAGTATTGCCCCGATGATGCGATTCATAGTTATTCGCAATGCAGTGGCGTTCCCATCGCAAGAGAGTTAGGGACGTTAAAATGATTTAAAAAATCTTAATTGCAAGCTAAACAAATTAAATCGGAAAAGGTTGTTTTTGTTTTTTTTTTTCAACGCGAGTCCATATTAAAAATTAACAATGATGTTTCAAAAACTACGACCTTTTTTCTTATTGTAAGTCGCTTAGAGTAACGGTAAGAGTAATAAGATTAAATTGTCCAATTCCCAGGCGCCATCTTGTGCGATCGTGTACTTCTTCTTTGTGGAGATTTCTTGCATTGCCTGTCTTCCTTATGGCCAGGTTCCAGCTCTGTTTCGGTCATCCTCTCGCGTCCTCACTCCAGCGGCTAACGAGTCCGAACCATATTAGTTGTTTTCGTTCTACGTCCTCTGTTATTTTCCCCTGAATGACCATTTGATCCTTTATTACCTCGTTTCTAATCCTGTCTCCCTAATTTTCCAAGTTTCTGTACCGCACAACAGGCTGCTCTTGATCGACCCTTCATATATATTGAATTTCCGTTCCGTTCAGGCATGCTGTAGCTCGTTTCTCTTATGTTATTCTGGGTTGAATCTCTTGTTCGTCGGATCCGGATTGGTCAAAGATCTCATGCAAGCATTGATACGAGTCTCATGGAGATTTTTGTTCCTCGGTGGCTACTTCCAGTGGCTATGCTTGAGCGCCGATGCACAAATATTTCGTCTTTCTTATGTTCACTGTCAGTCCCCATTTTCTGTATTCTAATTATTTATTCTTCTTCTTATTATTATTATGATTATTATTAAATTTAAATTAATTAATTGGCGCGCCCCTTATAGAATAATTAACATAATTGTATGACAATTGCAGCGTCTTTTAATTATTAAAGTCATTATTTCAATTTAGAATTTCCTAATCGATTAAAACGAGGTAACTGAAAAAAATGTTGAATTATTATTACGAAATTTTAGGCATAGTACGATTCTTGATAAACGTTTAGTATGAATTCTTGGATCATTTTTTCTACTCATTTTTAACTTTTTCAAAAGTTACCTTAATTTTTTGGTGCCTGGTTTACTTTTAGACTAAGTTTCAGATGGATCATCCCCATTTATCTTATTTCTGAACGACAACGTCAGGAAGATGTGGTCAAATTTGTGAACCACAACTGTGATCCACATACGACAAATTCGAACAAGGCGAACAATAATAATTAAGCATTTTCCATTCTAATTAGTACCCAAAACTAACCAATGGATTCATTAGAATACGCTACACTTTTCATAAATTGCTGATTATTCTCTGAGCAACTCACCAAAATATAAATAATTTAGCTTCAATGTTTTTAAAAAAGAGTTTTGCAAATATTTTAATTTTCTCGAAAGTCTTTGCTCTAAGCGAATTTAAATTTTCTCCATTTTCGTGAAAAGCTTTCGAAAAATTAATTATTGTTAAAAAATATCACCTAATTGTTTAGGTTTTAGAAACTTTTTACATCATTTTCATACCGTCTAAGTGTGTTTATTCGATCCGTTCTCGATACGATTCACTGCCGACTATCTAATTCGTCTAATAAAAATAATTAAAATACCCTAAAGAGAATCTTGGAAGCTTAATCTTTCCTAACGAAAACTAAGGAATGAAATATATCCGCAAATCTCCCTCTCATTTTAAAATTATGTTCATAAGTATCTTTAATAGGTAATCCGTAAGAACAGTTAACCGCGTGAACCTGTACAACATTGAAAGGTCCTATAAGGATTCAGGCAATATATATATATATATATATATATATATATATATATATATATATATATATATATATATATATATATATATATATATATATAGTCGATCTCGTATTTATGTTAAAAACCAAAAAATTTTCAAAATTATATTTCCATTTTCAAAGCACTTCATTTGCCAACAAGGCATTATTTTTTAAGTTAGTTACGCCACTAAATTAACAATCAAGAACAGAAACACTCAAAATTGCACAAAGAAATCATTGCAGTTACGAACGTAAACGTTAAAAAACGTAATAGTATAGTGGTATTCGCGTTTAATTTTTATTAGTGTGGTTATTGCTTTAGCGAATCGCAAAATTATTCAGTTTTACTATAATTTGTCCCGTATTCGAACAATACTGCGAAAAGAATGGTGCAATGGCATGGCGTCACTGTCGCACTGGCCGATTATTTTGGCATCGCTTCAAAACATAAAACAATACCGTCTCGTCTCGGTTTTATATAGCTAGAGTTCTACAACTCCCATAAATCGATTTAACAACATTACGGGTTCAAATGCCTTGATTAAATCCTTTCCAAAGTAATGCAGGAAAAATAAGTAGGTCTTCTCGCTTCGTACGGAGACTTTTCTTCGGCATAAAACTTTGCAAGTATCGTCGAGGATACCTCGATGCGAATTTGTTTACCATCGCCAGCCTAGGTAGCGAATGCGGGCATTGTGAATAACATTATAGCCTATTCTATGCGTTTGAGTTCGGTTTGGTTTATCTAGTAAATTAATGTTATGTATAGTGTATCAATTTATTGTATCGTTTTTTAACATTTAATGCCGAACATCCGTATGAATCATGGATAAAAGACATTTTATAGTGTTACTTAACTTGAGTTCCGTGCGTAAAACGAATTACTATATAAACAAGTACAAAACTTCGGTTTTTAACGTTTTTGTTCAGAGCTTCGCTGGTTTACCTCAGAAGGAGTTACTAAAGGACGCCACTGAAGTAATTTTGTTTTTTAAGTGCGGGCTAAGGCATTCGCATTAAGGATTCTGAATTTTAAAGCCCAAAAAATTGAACTCTATTTGTAACTATTGCAATTGGCCAACAGAGAATTGCCATTTCCGAAAGTAATATGTGTCACTTATTTACATGACATTACCTGCTGACATGCTTACACAATCATACAATTACGAAATATTGATGTTGATGATTAGCGATATCTCAACATTTAGAACGCATGCAATCATTGGACAACTAATGGCAGATGGATTTTTGAAAATAAGTAAATAGAATCACCTGTTCATAAGCACTAATCTCGCACACGCTTACAAAAAACGTATGTGGTAAAATGTGCCAAAAAACGGGAATAAAAATGTGCCAATAGGAACATTAAGAACTATTTTTCGACTTTGTCCGGTTATTACTGCAAATTCGCTACAATTTTAGTATACGGTTTTCGTTATAATAAACCGTATTCGCGTAAATTAAAAAAGGTGAAATTAAAACAACAAAATGTTTCTAAGAATATCAATTCTACAAAAAGGCAGACAAGTCTTGCCCTTTAGATTTTTTTAAAAATTAGTTTCTTTGAATAAATTAAATTGAAACTTCATACGCACCTATACCACTGACAGCTTTTTTCCTATTTCTTAAATTCCTTTGAACAATAATTTGTATGCAAAATTGTATCTGATCTATGAGAAAATAAGTGTGATGCAGTTGTTGTTAGCAAATTTATTTATATGTTTATGTATTATTACTTACGTACAGGCCGATATACATATTGAATAAACAACAACTCCAAAGCAATAGCAAAACGCATTAGTAGTAAATTATTGAACTTTTCGTCACCCTGAGTTCATTATATCAGATACATATTTTTTCCCAATGCAATTATTTTCCTTACTTTTTCGGACAATATAATACATTGTTCAATTGCAAGAGACGTAGGGTTGTTGACCATTACATTGTACAAATAGATGTTTGTGCCGTGACCATTGTAATTATGAAAGTTATTTGCAAATCACATTCGTAATGTTTCAGTTTGCGTGAAATAATCACAACTTAATAGAACTCTATTCCAAGCACCATAATTCTCTTAAATGTTAACAAATATGAACAATAAATGGTATATTTTATTTTTCGGGGAAGTTTCTACACTTCATGACCGCACCTATTTGCGTATGTCCTATAACCAAACCTAGATATTTTGCTAAAGAAACCTTAGTGCTGGCTTCTTTATTTACGTATTTCTAAATGGCAGAAATCTGTACCTCGTTAAGGGTGCTCCGCAGTTCATAGCAACTTTTTATAGTAGAAGTATTTTTGAAATTACTTTCAGTTTTGAGTTTTGTATCTAGGTCGCCAAACATTCAGTCTAGCATAGACAGTAACGTAACCCCTAACTGCTTTATGACGCGAGTGTTTTTCAATTGGAGATAGTCTGGTTTTTGTTTTCGACTTCAGTGAGCGTCCTATGGTAACGCGAAAGCCAGTGTCCGAGATATAACGTCAATCACAATGATGGCAGAAAAACAGAACGAAAAATTTTCCTAAACGTGGCCGTAAGCGTCACAAGCAATTTCTGTATAGTTTTGTAAACTTTTCTCTTGAATGTACACGTTTCCGTTTTATATAAATCGAATTAATGGGCGATCAAAGTGTTTTTTTTCTTTCCGAATACGCGTGACGTCCGTGTATCGTAAACTTTTCAGATCGGCGCATTGCCGAATGTAAATTTTCGATCGCCCGCTGAAATTGTGTATATGAACTGCAATATATAATGCTGTATAAATTTTTCAAAACAGACCCTAAACCCCACACCCCGCCATCCGAGTAAAAAGAAACTAACAGTTTTTAATTTATATAATTCGATGGAGTTAAATGGATTCACGCAGCGGTTTCAATTTCGAACCGACCTTTTTCATTTCGATAGGTTTTGTTAACTGTTAAGACAAAATAAAGATTATTTATTACAATCAGTGTTTTATTTTTCTATGTAGCCGTGTATTTTAAATTTTACGCAATATTCGGCCAGTATATTCTAAAAATACTTGTCTTTTGAATGAAATATTTGAAAGGTGTAACATAATAGACACTTAAATAATGCATCATCAAAGCTAGTATTATAATGTGACCGAGTAAAGGTCGTTCAACCACACATACTAATTGTTAAATACGAGCACACCGTGAATAAATTAAGGCAGTAGTTATTAAAAAGATTATTCAATTAATATATTTAAGCTTTGCCTAAAGTTCCTTTTCACCTCGCCCACCCTTTATCTGCAGGATTGCGTTAGCAGGAGGTACGGCAGGAATATTTAATTAAATGCGTGGGTCACAAAAAGCTGGATCCTCACGTTGTTGCCAAATTGTTTCAACTCCCTAAATCGGTCTCATGTTCCGCAGTAGATATTATATAGGGTGTTTCAAAAAATACGCCGACGCTCCTCTTGAAATTCAACACCTAAATAAAGAAAAAAAACATATCAATGTAGCTCCGGAAATGTTTAATTTTCAATATTCGGAGTTTTCAATATTTTCAAAAAAGCGGAAATCCTTATGTCGTAGCGCAATAAAAATACGTTTCGTCAATTTTCCTGATTTTTATTTACATACCACAAGCGTTGTGGAATTGACCCGTCAAATTACAATAAAACACAATGAAATTTATATTTATTTATTTACATTATGTGGTACCCCGCCGTTGTGTCATTCTGAGAACTCAATGGAGTCGATATCTTTATTGAGATTCCCCGAATCGTATTTGCCTATGCCTTGCAGGTGAATTGGACATCACAATCGCATAATAATTTATTATAAAATACATATTATTATTAAATAATGATAGATAACACTCTACAAATGCACAATGTTATTTAAAACATTTTGATCGAATTTCACTTGTCAATTATGAAGACAGACAACATACAAAAACAACACAAAAGTCATATCCAAAGAAAATAATATGGCAGAAAAGTCAGTGACAAATTGGTTAAAAATTACAGGCCAATCAGTTTGATAAGTAACATTGTGTTGAGGGTTTTTGAAGGCTACCTGGCAAGTAGGGTGCAACGAACAAGAATTCGAGATGTAATAAGCGAACTTGAAACTATAGTAATTATACATATAGGCATACAACAGGGCACAGTACTGGGACCGACACTCTTCAATCTGTATATTAAGGGACTAACATTGTTAAATATAAAGGGGAGAGTTTTTAGCAATGATATCTGGGATGGGGCGAGAGCCCAGGCAACCGGCGAACTTCAACAGGGTAAATGAATGGTTAGACTGCAACAGACTCTCTCTGAATGTAGAGAAAACTAACTATATGGCTTTTTCAAAAACTATTGTTGATCGTCCTTCTTTTAAAAGTATACGTGTTGAAAATTTAAATGAACAAATTTTGAAAGCAAAAACTGTAAAATACTTGGGTATTTATATTGATACAAATTTGAAGTGGGTGAATCACATTAACTTCTTAACAAAAAAGCTAATGTATTTAATATTCAAATTTTATTCACTAAGGCAATGTCTAACTGAGCAACTTCTGTTGATACTATACTCGCTCCGCTCGTGTCAAATAAACTCGTGAGTCAAATGCGGTTTACCGCACTGGTTGCATGAGATCCTATAAAATCTTTGGTTGTAACTAAACCTGTACGTTTTCTTATGGCCTAAATAATAATAAATAAATCAGACAACAAATATGTTTTCAAAAATAATATGTGACAGCTTCTATGACCAAAGTTGAGGTATTTAAGTTATTTTTTTTTAATACAATATAGACCTATATGTTTCACGTGTTTTCGATAATGTCCTGTGAACATTGTTTCCAGCGAGTCGAATGAGCAGAGCTCAGGCCTGATCCGGAGCCGTCAACGTTCCAGGAAGTCGGACGTAGGCGGAAATCGAACGAGAAGGCATCTGGAATATTATACCGCTATCGCGAGCAGGTGCTGCGGTCTATAAAAGCGGGAAGCGGCCCGTCAGTCAGTCGAAAGTCGAAAAGAGAAGGCGGAGTGCGCAAATGTAAATAACCGACGACCATAAATAGAGTGGTTATATAAATTAGTAGTGTTTACGTTGCAACAGTTTTACGCTAAAGGCCTCTGCGTTTAAGAACCGGAACCAAACGTAACATTATGCAAGGTGACCAACGTCAACTCCCGCACCCCCGCCTCGATAACTCATGTAAAAAATAAAACCTAATACATATTTTTTTAAATTTATTAAAAAAAAACTTCTCTTTGAGTATAACAAAACTTTTCTTATGTCTAATGATTTTTTAATTTAGTTATTGTTCAAAAGTATTCTTATTTTGATCATGTATTGCTTTTGGAGCTACATCACTTTTTAAAAGTGATTTGTAAAATTACAACGTAATTCCCGTTGCACCTTATAATCATGGCTAATTTCAAAGTGCTCACATGAAGTTAACTTTGTTCGCTACTCTAAAAGTTGTTTATAATTGAAAACACTCTCTCTTCCTCTGTATTAGTAACGGGTAGGCAGAGTGCATACTTAACCATCAAAGATTTGTTTTTAAACCCCAGTTGCTTTTTTGTACAATTATCAAAAACTTCAAGCCATCGGACACGGGGTTGAATTTCTGAATAAGGTGGAATTGCAGCGTTGGCAATGTTTATAAATTTTCTGGGAGATAAATTGATTAACATTCTAGTTTCAGTACTCGCAATTTGTTGCTATATCCGCTTTTTAAAGCAACTGTATATAGTTAATATTGAGTTTCTTCGTAGAATGTTGACGGTGCAAATAAAATCATTTATAATTTTCAAGACTTTTAATACATGAACTTGAAATTATATCACAACTTATTCAAAATTTTAAACTAAATCCTGCCCCGCCTCTCCTAATATCGACACCCATCCCCAAACGAAAGCCGTAACCATCATCGTCTTCTCCGCCCTACCAAGGAAAAAATTAAATAAATAAACACAAATATCAAACATAAAACAGACAGCGATAATCATGTAAACTGTTCACTAAAAATTTTATATAAAATGTTAATAACACTCAATAAATTTACCCATCTCTTATAGGTTTTGCACAAACATCATTATAAAATGTATAGCCCCCTAATTTTCTTTTTACCCCATTCATTTAACAAATAACAAACCCGTACACATCTAAAATTTAATTTAAAACAATACTTAAAATATTTATCCAGAATGTAAGAAAGAAGGGTTGTTAGCTATAGCCTCAGTTTCGCTTTAAGAGGTATTCTGTCTCATTTAACAGATGTTCATCATTTCAAATTCTATCTTCTGAAAAACTAGAGGCCAACATACCATACTTCATTTGAATATATTTATATTATCAGTTTACAGGGATATCTCGAGTGCTTCAAAAGTACTCTGCAATTTTAAAGGAAGAAAGCAAGGTGGAAAATGAAGAAAGAGAAATTATAAACTTTTTTTAACTAAAGAATTGAACTTCGTGCGTAACATCCTATCAATTTTTTTATGAACAGTTTGGGCGCCTATACTAAATACCAGATGGCATACATACCAATCTCTTATACTCCCCGCCACCTGACGGTGGTTTGGGACTGGCAGCCAGTGCTCTCTTGTGGCCGAGCTCCGATTTGGCAGGCCATGTCGGGAACATAGCCGGATCGATCGGCAGAGGCGGTTCGTTAAAGTATGTATGTTTCATGGCTTCCTCGACGGTGACCCGCTGCGCAGGGTCATATGTGAGGAATTTGACAAGCATACCAAGACCCACTTCACTTAGGGTGTTAAACTTCGCCCTTAGATTGGAAACCGGGTATTCATTAAATTTCATTTTCTTGACAGCGGGCAGCTCTTTAAAGCCAGGCCAAATTTTTTCGCTAGGCGTGCCAAGATCCTAAAAAAAAACACACACACACACACACACATGCACAAAACAATATAATAAATAGCTAGTAAGAATTTTTTTGAAAACGTGCAACCTTACTTTGAAAATGCGATTTAGCTGGTCAACTTCAGACTTTCCTGGAAAGAGGGCGTTCATTAGCAACAATTCGGCAAATATGCATCCGACTGACCACATGTCTATTGGTGTGGAATACTGCAAAGAACAAAAAAGGCACACATTTCATCAACATGTAATAAGTTTACCATAGGAAGAAATTTCAAAATAACGCAATTTTTCATCGTTTTCAAATTGACATTTATTGGTATCAGAAATTAAAAAGGTGGACAAATGACCCACAAACGCGTAAAAAACTGGGGTTACCTTTTTATTTATGGAACGCACTATACATCTTTCATATTTGGATTCTGTCATTAACTCTAATATGTTGCATAACTGTAAATTTTGCAAAAAAACTTAGCAAGGCCATTTGACGAATGTTGTGCAATTTACTTTACCAATGTGGTGCAGTTACTTTTTGATGAAACATTGTGATTTTTTACAAAAATATCACTGAAAGTACGACTTAACTTTTAATGTCAATACAATTGGTTATGTTTATGCAGAGTGTCGGAAATAAGAGTGAGCAATCAGAACCTCTTAAAATATGATATCCATATTTTTTGTGTCTCTAACACTAAATACTCTCATTTATATTAACAAAGTTCCAACTTTGCAGATATTAAGATTTTTACTTAGTCCTACACTCTAAAAACTACCTACCATTACTGTTTTGGATGGAATCAGCCAATAACTTGCAAGCTAAATTAAATTTGGAATGATAAATTATGAAGTATTTTTACATATTCTTTGATCTATTATTACCTGTTATTAAAAAATAGCAGATGTAATATTGTGAAGATTACCCAAATAGTTAAAAGAAATCCAAGTTTTAACTGTTTCAATAATTTTGCAGTGACCATAAGACACGGGATTATTTTTTGACTAAATGAGTTTGTTGCTGATTTGTCCTATATATGTACAGTGTGCTGGGACTTTGGCAGCAGGGATATATCGACTACTAGTAAAAAGAGAAATAATTTTTGGTGAAACAAAACTAAACAAAAGATACTGGGACCATCGTCTTTCGGAGTTTAATTTAACTCACATAGCCCAGTAGCCCTGAAAGAAACTAAGCTTGTCGGCTCGGAAAAATGTAGGGATAATTTGTATTGCTTAATTTTTAAAATTCAAAGTATTCGGCCTTTCATTTATCAGAACAAACATGAATTTTGTTTAAAAAAGAACTATTTGTTAATACGTAAAAATGTTACTCGCGATTTCCACTTTGTCTCAACCCCTTGCTTTTGATTCTATGATATTTACTAATAAGAGAGATATCCCTTTATTGATAAGTTCTTATGCTTCTCTTGTACTCGCTGCACATCAAATATAAACATAAGACCCTGCTAATTAATAAGCAAAAATTTTTCATTAAAATACCCAGAAATGCAAAAAGGTCAATAATCAGGGCCAACATTCTTAAAATAAATGAAAATCCTTCACTTGGTACAGGAAAATCTCTACCTCTTTAATTCCGAGAAGCAATTCTGGCGCTCGGTACCACAACGTAACGACGATCGGCGTATAGGGCTTCAAGGGAGACCCGTACTCACGTGCCAAACCAAAATCCCCCACCTTGAGGACACCTTTATGTGAGAGCAACAGGTTTGAAGTTTTCAAATCTCTGTGCAAAATCCAATTATCGTGCAGGTGGTCGACCGCCTGCAGCAGCTGCTTCAGGAGGCACTTGACCTCGCCAGGCATGAAGCTCTGCTTCTTGTGTCGCATCGTCTCCATTAGTGATTTGAGATCATGTTCTACATAATCCATCACAATGAATATCTTGTCCATGTTGCTGCCAACCACAATCTCTCGTACAGTCACTATGTTGGCATGCTGGCACTTCAGTAAGGTATTGATCTCTCTTAGGGAAGTGATCGGGAAGCCTTCTTTTTCCTTTTCCATTTTTAGCCGCTTTAAGGCGACGATTTCATTGGTACGTTTGTCCCGCGCACGGTATACAACACCATAGGTACCTTCTTCTATTCTATTCAAACACTGAAACTCCTCGACAGAGCGACAACCCTATAATAATGATCAACTCTCACATCTCTTTACTATGAAATAAAAATTGAAAAATGTTTACCTGAACTGCCGGATAATAGGGTGGCAAATCGTCATCAATGATAGGTTTTTTTTCTTCACCATTTTTCTCCTCTTTCTCATCCTTGTCTTTGTCCTTCAGCATTTCATCGTCTTCCTCTTTGCTTCTTACTGATTCTGAACGAGATCGATCAGAGCTATGGCTTCTACTTCTACTCCTGCTAGAAAAGACGCCAATTCCAAGGTAAATGTCTAAGATCATGATGAAAGCTCAAAATTAACATTTGAATTTCAAAATTTTATTTGGTTTATTTGAATTTCACTAAAGCAACATCGACAATTTGACAGATTTTAAAAATGGAATTTAGTAGAAGTAGTAGAAGAATTAATACGCGTTTAGAGTATTTTGTTTGTTTGTTCATAAACATTCCTTCAGATATAAAGTATATATAATAATACCATCTTACAATGCCACTGATCCAAAATTCAAAGCAAATGTTTTGAGTTGCTTGTCAAAATAAATACAAATTTAAATTCATTAAATTTAATTAATTTAATTTTAAAATAAAATTTACAATCAATAATTTAACAAAATTTAACAATCAAAATTTTAGGATACAAAAAAATCTGAAGACAAGTTACTGTAAAGTCAATCTTTGAAGGCACAAATTCAGAAAACAACTTTAATTTATCCACCAACATATAAACATATAGTTTCAATTGGTCCATAAGCAGCTCTGAGTACCCTAGGTAATAAAGACAACACACAGCCTTTAATCTTATTTATATTCGAAGTTGTATGGTGATTTCTAATCATTGACTTTTTATGGCGTAATAGCAATTACATATTAACAAATAAATTGTCATACTGATATAGGACAAAACAAAAAATTCACCTGCTTCTGCTTTTACTAAGGCTGCGGCTCCTAGACTTAGTTTTGGAGCGAGAATTTCTTTCAGAATCCACACTTTCATCACCAGAATAACTTCTACTTCTACTCTTGCTTCTGCTTCTGCTCCTACTCTTACTCCTATCAGATACACTCCTGCTTCGACTCCTGTCGCTAATTACATCTTCTCCTTCGCTTAAGCTCTTCTCTGAAACATCGTTGATGTCAGAAGGCGCTTCGTCAGATGCGTCTGACACCATAACAATCTGGACATCATCACTTCTCACACGCTTGGAAGGCGAATCCTCTTCTTCATTTTTGCGCTTAGAGACTTTCTCCAAATGTCTTCTTTCGCGTTCTACGCGAGATCTTTCCTTTAGCCTGGCCATTTCCCTCTCTGTAAAAAAAAAAGGAAATGCGGAAGGTAAATGAGCAGGTTTGAATTAAAAATCTACAAAAAATAAGAAACCATATTCTGAGTTGAAATTCGTTAATCCTGCTTCAAATAAGAAATAATTAATCAGAGGTTATGAATTACAATTGAATGAAAAAGGTTTAAATTATCAAAATTAAGAATGTTACCTCTACTGTTCTGAATTTTGAAATCATTTGCACAATTCAGAATGTTTTATAATAATTTATTTATAATATATTAAATATACTAATATCATGATCAACTGTTATTATTTCTATTATATTTTTATATATATTACTTAAAATTTTATGAATGAATTTGTTATAAAATACAGAATTTCCAAATTTTCAAAACTTTCCTATATTTCTTGTAGTTGTCCAAAAGTTGTAAAAGAACAGATTTTAATGATAATTTATATTTGAAATTATACATCTGCTCTGATTAAGGAATAAGATTGACACCTACCAATATAGTTGACCTCAATTAATTTGCTAAATATATGATATAAAATACTCAAAACTGAAAACTTGCTTTTTACCTGCTTCCAACAGTTTTTCACGTCTCTGCTCCTGCTCTTGCTTCTCTTCTTCTGTTAGCTGTTTCTCTCCTTCTTTATCTTTTCTGTTTTTCCTCTCCTCGGTAGTAATATTAATTATCTCTTTAACATAACTACCAGCCTCTCCCTCAAGAGGATCTTCATGATTCTCATGATGCAAACGATATTTCCTATCTTTGCGACTTCTTTTCCCATGCTTATGAGCTGAATCATCTCCTTTTGTTCTTTTCTCAATTAGCCTGCACAAAACAAGATAAAAGATTTTAGATAAACCAGATTATGATGGATGTATCTCACCTTTCTCGAAGGTCAGCCAAAGCTTTGCTTGCTCGATCTCTGTTTTCTTCATCATGTTTTTCCCGCTTGTGCTTCTCTTGATCTTTTCCATGACCTCTTACGTCTTTCACTATTTTTTCTTGTTTTCTAGATTCAATGTGGCGATTTCGCGCCTCCTCCGCCTTCCTTTCTCTAAAAGCCCTTTCTGTTAAATACTGGGCATCAGTGTACCCCATTTGCTCCCGATAATATCTATCTCTTTCTTTTTGATAGTGCTCTCTTTCTTTAAGAGATCTTGAGGATTTATCTCTGCAAACATGCCTACCTAAAGATGAGTCTCTGTAATCTGACGCTTTATTACCTATGATGTTTTTCCCGATGAGAGTGCCTCTCTTCCCTATGGCGTTCTGATCTATCTGACCTCTTGTGGCGGGTTTTTTCATGTTCACGCCTTTTAGTCTTCCGGTTAGAAACTTTCGCTTGGGGAGGTTTTATGTCTAATGCATCAACGTTCTCTGGATCATCATCGTCTTCATTGCTAAATAATAATTACCAACATCAAAATATAAATATAGTCTTAGCATAAATCATTTGAAAATTTACTTTTGGTGTTCCATCCCTTCAGATTCCTCTTTGTTTTCCACGGGGCTTTGTAATTCACCGTCTTCACTTTGATCGTCCGTCGAATCGTTTCCGGACATTATATAAAAACGAAAAATAAAAACGATATTTTTATAGGAAACGGTATTTGAAGCATCGGCAATGAGAAAATTAAAAACTGTAAATGTAGAAAATATACAGAACAGCAGTGGTTTCCGATGAGTATTATTACGAAATTTATAATCTTAAATCGGAAAACACAATCCCAATATCCATTAAACACAAATATACTGCTGTTCGCTGGAAACGCCAATTACTGGGTTTTACCATGGGCAGAGAATATGATTTAAGTGGCTGCGCAAATGAGTAAAATACATTTCAGTCCATATCTTTAACCAAAAGGGAAAATATATAGTGGAAACCACAGCCCTCTATATTTTTTTTAATACTCTTAACACGTTTCACAAAAGCCGCATACAACAAACTTACTGACGATCTGGCAGCGGCCATGTTGGTTGTTGAATGACGCAAAGTCACAAGATAAAATTTTAAATGTCATAGATGTGCACGTTGAATGGACCTTCTGAAAATTATTTTCATAGCTGTTCCATCAGTTCCTGTTTTATCAGCATATCTCTAGTAACTTTATACGTTTAACACGTCTACACACTCACGGTATGTCGATCGATTCCATTTGACACAGTGTGGACACAGCTTAACGAGGACAGTCATATCAATTATCCAATGCACTACCAAACTAGTTTTGGTATTCTGTGATTATATTATTCTTTTGAGTGAAGTAGAGAAAACCGTGATCGTAGTGTACTAAGATCAGTTGTGATCATTGTGTTCTATTACAAATTTAAGTTTCGTTAAATTTTGGTATGGTTTCATTTGTATGCTAAAACCATTTCAATGAACGGCTTGGATGAACTTTGGCTTATAGAATTTTCATCTATTATAGAACTTTTGGAATAATATACACATGGCTTCAACTGAAGTTTCTGTTGAAACCAAAGCAAATTCTGATAGAAATGATTTGGTAAGTAATGTTTTGAACTATTAAGCTTTTCTCAACATTGTAATATGACTATTCAAATTTACACTTGAAGATGCAAAGTAAAAATTATTCCTTTAGGTGGATACTGCAATCAAATTTTTGCAAAACCCCAAAGTTATTAATAGCCCACTGTCTCAAAAACAACAATTTTTACAACGAAGAGGTTTAACTGAAGAGGAGATAAGAATAGCATGTGAGAAATCAGGCGCTTATGAACATCATGATAAGCAACAAGATTTTCAAGTAATTTCTACACAGCCTTATAATGCACCTGCTAATATTTATAGTCAAGTAACAATATTACATAAAATAAAGGAAATTGCCCACAACATAGCAATATTTAGCGTTGTTGCTTATGTCATACATAAACTTTATGAGGTAAGTAAAACTGTATTACTTATATTGTTTTTTCACTTAAAATTTTTATCAAGCTTTTGTTTATAAGACATTGGAAAGAGGTACTAATTTTGTTTAATCATGTGAAATTATGCCAGCTTATGCTGCCACGTTGTTAGCTACTTGTCTCATGTTTGGTTAGTTTTATTTAATTTTCATTTAAAAATAAGTAATATCAAAATCAAAACCCCCTTTCATTCAACATCTTGTTTCCTGCCTCACAATTCTAATCATGGCACATGCACAAATAGGAATCAAATGCTAAATTACAAATGACTAGTTGCAAAAATTATCATTTATCCAGGTGACCTATTTGAATTTTCTTTATAGATGTACATAGCACCATTTTTATTTGGCAAGAAGAAAAAAGACTTAGATGATAAGTTGGAAACTTTTGAAAATAATATGAGGAGTTCAATAAGTGAAATTAGAAACGATATATGTGATGTGAAAGCTGAAATTGATAAGATCAATTCTAGTCCAGATAATGAAGTAGCAAGACAACTGAAAGACTTCAAATCTGAGTTATCCACTGTTAAAGGATTGTTGCTGACCAGGTAAAATTGTCAATTTTTTTTATTTTACTTCATTCAGAGTTTTTAATTTAAATTGCAGAAAACAATTTCCCTCTGTAAATGCTCCAGTAGTTCCCCCTTCGATACCGGCGTGGCAAATGTCAAGTGTGCAAGACAGCGAACATGATAATGAGCCTGATGTAGATCATGAAGAAAGTAAGGAAGAGCTAATGGAAGTAGGTTCAGGATCAGGATCTTCTGAGCCAGAGCATTTTATGAAAACGAGTGAATCCAGCCTAGAAATAATGTAATCCTATTTACAGTATTACCTAGATAAAAAGTCGTGGTTGCAAAACAGATTTTATTTAGTTTTTTTTTATTGGGAAATTATTTATCACATCATAATCAGTCAGGCCTGTTGCTTCCCAAGTGAAAAAAAATTGTTTGGCATGCATTAATTATAATTATTTATTAATTTGTAATTAATAAGTCATTAACATCGAAAATAATTTGTTTACATCCATTTATATAAATGCTAATCAAATGTCTTAAAATATATGTTTTTATTTTTATCTTTCGGTTAGTTTGGTTGCAATCAAGAAGAAATTACTGAAAAAGTCTGTACATTGTTATAGAAAAAATCTCTAAATGTTTTTAAAATACCTCAAAATACCCGTAATTTTTCAAACTTTCTTAAAATTTTCCCAAATTATTAGTGTTGGAACCTAATTCTGTTGATGATTTTAACACAATTTTATAGAAACTTGCATTAAGTGCTTTTGATTTTTAAGATAATCAAGTAAAACTGTTTAAATTTACATCAATGGTTATAATTGCCTGTGTTTGTAAAAATAAGGCCAATGCAGGTTACTCAATTATTACCATAGGCACATATTCCTTTTCTGGGGCAGGGCACCTAAACAGTTCTAAAGCAAAATGTTAATATACTAAAAAATAGCAGGTACCCCGTTTGACATTTCCACTCTTCAAATGTATAATTTATATTTTTATACTGAAACTGAAATAAGTAACTAGACATAACAAATATTTTTTGTCTTACCTTGACATATCCTCTTTGCAGAAACATTGCTTTTTAAAAAAAGTAATTTACAATTTTTCATGTACTTTTTCTAGTGTGCTCCCCAGTCCTCGAAATTTCCCCGCCCCTTTCCCTAACACTAGAAAATCCTGGAGATGCCGCAAAATTCCCCAAAATACCTCAACACTTTCTTGAAATTATCCTGAACTTCATCATCGCTGTATGCTATGATTGCAATATACTTTAAGTCACTTTTTTCAAGTTGCCATGAGGATATAGCATAAATGTCTAAACTTTTTCTACAATACCTTGAATTGCCTTGAAACATTGTCCTTGTACGCTAAAATACCCCTTGGTTATATGTTATATATTACTTTTTTTCAGTTGCCATGAGGATATAGCATAAACTGTACACAAATTTCTAATGTAATAGCCATACAACTCATTGAATTTTCTCTATATACTGATTTATATAATTTTTCAGATACTCTTCCAAAGATTGCGACTCCGAATCCTATCACAGCAAAAAAAGTGGAAGAGATGAAACAGAGAAGGACTAAGTAGCAAATAGTTATTATTACAATGTTGTTGCGCTAGCAAGGAGCATGTTTTATTTTGTTGTAATTTTATGATGTGATATTTTGTATATTGACAATGTTTACAGTAAAACATTTTTGGTTACTAGACAATGTCTTTTATAAATGACAGAAATTACAAGTGGTAACTTCAATATGGCAGTTACAATAATTTGAGTCTTAGAGTCAAGAGATGTTTTCGGATATATTTCCCACGCTTTGAACTTTGACGTTTGTCAATTGTGACAATCATGTCAGTGAGTGTATTCGTGTTGTTTTGCGAAAATGTACCCAAAAACTAATGGTGGTAGAAAAAGTATAGTATGCAACACGTTCAGTAAACTTTTTGAGTCACTCATTCATTAAACACTCGCTCCGCTCGTGTCAAACTCACGAGTCAAATGCCGTTTACCGCACTTGTTGCATAATATACTATTAAACTTCAACAATACCACAGCAAAGAATGTATATTTTACATTCTTTGCTGTGGTATTGTTGAACTTTAATCAAATTGTCAAGAGAACTTATTTAGAATTAAAAGAACATTGAAAAAAAAAAGACACCCTTGTAATATGTACGCAACATTAAAAACAATTCTCGAAGCTTTTATCGCGTGCTTATACCAGGTGGCATCGAAACTACTGTAGACAGCGATTTTTTAAGTTTGCTTGAGATAAAAATATGCAATTTGGTAAGGGTTGAATATTGTGAACATTTTTAGCATACAAACAATTGAATGTCGTTCCCGGTTTCCCAGGAAATAACCTCAACCTTACTTTTTACAAAACTTCTGGATTCCTCCTGCGTCGGTTTTTGAGTCGAACTTGCTGACGTTTCGCTAATCATCCTGTTGGCTTCTTCAGAGCTTGACTGAAACTGGTTCGTATTTTACTCTGTACCTGCTGATATATTGTTTGAGGCGGCGGAGCTAAATGAGAGTGACAGGCAGAGACCTGAGTTTAAGATTGTTAGGTTGTTTATAGAATTCTATAGAGTCTATGTAGAGTCTATAGTCTTTATAGAGTCTATAGTCTGTATAGAGTCTATAGTCTAATAATAATGCAATAAGTGAGATTTAATATACCACTGGTTCTCTTGAAATTCGATATTTCGCAAGCCATGCGAAACGTGGCAAAATATACAGCGTGACGCAATAATGTTTTAAAGTACTATATCCCTTTTTACAAAACTTCTGGATTCCTGCTGCGTCGGTTATTGCCGAGTCGAACTTGCTGACGTTTTGCCAATCATCCTGTTGGCTTCTTCAGAGCTAGACTGAAACTGGCTCGTATTTTACTCTGTACCTGCTTATATATTGTTTGAGGGGGCGGAGATAAATCAGGGGCATAAACACCGTCTCGGATGACTAATTCCCAAATTGGTGCCAGGTAGAGACCTGAGTCGCGGCTAAGATTGTTAGGTTGTTTATAGATTTCTATAGACTCTCGGATTTTTCGTTAGTAGAAGAACTGATTACATGCATGAATTTTAGTTTTATCAAATAAAATTTTATGTCCTGTTATTTGTCTTAGTCGTAAGGCTCTTTCGTGTTCTTTGAGTTTAGTTAATATTTTTCGTCCGGTCTCTCCAATGTATTCTTCGTCGCATATTCATGGAATGCTGTGAATTTTGTCTTTGACGGACCGAAGATGTTGAGAGATTTTTGATGACGCTATACTTCTTTAGAACTTTTGATATGTGATGTTTTGAATGTAAGGAAGGACCACAGTGGCAAGTGTAGGATTGCTTTCGGCCTCTTACATGTAATCAGTTCTTCTACCAACGAAAAATCCGAGAGTCTATAGAAATCTATAAACAATATTAACCGCGACTCAGATCTCTACCTGTCACCAATATGGGAATCAGTCATCCGACACGGTGTTTATGCCCCTCATTTAGCTCCGCCCCCCTCAAACAATATATAAGCAAGTACAGAGTAAAATACGGGCCAGTTTCAGTAAAGCTCTGAAGAAGCCAACATGATGATTGGCGAAACGTCAGCAAAATTGACCAGCACAAACCGACGCAGGAGGAATCCAGAAGTTTTGTAAAAAGTATTACAGTAGCCTGTGGAAGTTTCTTAAAAAAAAACCTCAACTTTGTTGTTTTAAATGGAACACCTTGTATATTTTTAATTTTTTGAACTCGCTAAGAAATCCTAAACCACTTTTGCCTACTTGTATACTCCATCTCTAAAATCAATAGCTTTTGAAATAGAGCGACTGAAAAACATGTCACAATTCTACGATATTTTTATTTTATAAAAAACCGAAGTAGGCCACAACAAAAATATTACAGCAAAACGAATTGAAACTTTATCAGGATTCCGCCGATCGTACACTATTTTAGCTTGTGTTTTCTTGAAAAGACATTGACTGTAAATAAGGAGCATATCTATTTGCTCCGAATTTGTAAAATATCTTGCCATATTGTTTTAGATAAAGTGGAACTAAATTGTTTGTTGATAACAAAATACTATTATAAATTAAGAAAAACATACACTTACTACCTATATTAGTTATTAAATTTAGACTGTCATTGCTTTTATTTTAATTTTGTGGGAATTTATGGATATTGGGTTTATCATAATTTGGCATAGGATAAAAAAGTAGGTCTGGACAGTAGACATTTCATTCTGAGTGAGTTAACTTAGATAAACTGTTTTCGTGCAGTAACTAAGTAAAGTTTGAAAAATTGATTCGCGATAACTGCATTTTTATAAATGGCAAATATTTTTTTTATATTTTATTGAATTTCACTTTGAATGAGAAGTAACCATAATATTTTTTGTTCTGACCTACTTCGTTTTTTCACAAAATAAAAAAAATCGTCAAATTGTGGCATATTTTTGAACGTCTTTATTTCAATAACTATTAATTTTCGACATAAAATATGTTAAACAAAAGTTATTTTAAATTATTTAGCGAGTGCAAAATAAAAAATATACAGGGTGTTCCATTTAAAATAACAAAGTTGAGGTTATTTCCGGTGAATCCGTCACGGACATTGGTTTCGTTGTCTCCCGGAATATCTATTTATTTGAAAAGTTTGAAGGCATTTTAATTATAGTCTGCAAGATATAAAATTTTAATCATGGCCGATGGAACTTGTGGTGACTAAAACGATTATCAAAATTTCCAGGAGTGAATCGGATATAATACCGGTCCGTTTGTCGAAAATCTAAGGACTACACAAGTCTTCGGAGTAAAAGAAGTAGATATGGAAGTGTCGAAAGATTAGGTCTATAATTCCACTCGCAAAACTTGTAAGGGGAGGAGCGTATGCTACACCACAGCATTCATACGTCGGCAGAGCAATTGAGCTTCCTCCTGGACAGAGCACTCTGTTTTACAACAAGCCTAGTGATTCCACGAGAGGTTCTAGTCGCCTTCCTGATTACCGTAGCGGATGGATATAATTCGCCAAGCGCTTCACACCTAGACTAGATGTTAGGGCATTCGAATTGGAGTTTGTCAAGCCCAATGTAACCTGTAAGAATAATTGTGGTCATGCATAGCTATTTTCTAGACATAGTCCGATTTTGTTTAGCTGCTGTTTTGTTCAGCTAGCCAACAGTTTTTATCTATTGGTTAGCATATTAAAATTGGAGGTAAAATTTTGTTAAAATTAACAAAAGCATCGTCATTAAAAGTTTAGTTGATCAGAATTGTAGCTCGGCAACAAAAATGAAATTTAGGGTGTAAGTCAAAATGAGTAGTTTAGACTTTCTTAAAGGCTAATTCAAATAATTTTTAATGAAGAACAAAATAAATAATTTTTTGACAGATATTATTTATAATACAAGGTCGTGGCCTAACATTGTGAAGCAAACAACTTTTTGAATAGTAATTGGCTCTTTCAAAATATGGGTATTTTATCCTAGACCATATTTCACATTTTTTGCCATACCCTGAGTGTTGTTGAAAGTCTAAGAAATAGTTACTGAACCAAGAAATTTTGGCAGTATTAAATCTTTTTATTGCAAATATTTTTTAAAAAGGGGGGAAGGTTGTACATGTAATTAGTTATATATTTATAATTCCTTGTAATTTCTCCGAAATTCTGCGGTGAACTCCTTCAAATTTCGCTGGAATTCTTTCATAGTGACAGAACGACAGCGTGCTATCTATTCCGGAGAATCCCTTTAACAAAAATATGAATAGTGTCCAATAATTTTTTAATTTAAATTTAAATGTTGTTGTTTTAGTAGACTTAGTAAACAACCATGTGACGGGAAAGAAACGGCTTCTATCAGTCTTCATGGCAGAAATATGTCACATTGTTGTTAGTTTAGCAGGTCCGCTAACTTTTAGAGTAACCATAAACAATGGCAAAGTGTAAAATCTATTTATTTTAAATATTTTACACCAGACACGTTTTTGTTGACAAACTATAACGACTGACGGTCAAAACTATCGTCTAATTTAACTACAAGTAATACTAAAGCTAATTAATATTTACAACAAAAAAATTCATGTGGAAAATAAATATTCCACATAAACCAAATCCTATACTGTAGACCTAAACCTAGGTCACTCTTTGGTTTTAGGTGTATCACTAACTTAAATAAAACGTAATAAATTTTCTATACACCTAAAGAAAAGTGAAGAGTACCGTAAAATGTGTTACGCGCTTTAATTAATTTTTTAAAGATCTTTTAGATAATCAGCTAAACAAATTCTGCTGCCATTAGTTTTGCTATTGCATTTGTGATCAGAGTTCAAAATCTTGTTTTTGTAAAAAAAATATCTATATATCACCTAATTAAAATTCAATTGAATTGAATTTTGGTAACAACCCAGAATAATAGGAAAATGTATATGTATATTACATTATCATATACAAACGTTTACGAGCTTATATACACTGACTATACTAAAACTAAATTACAACTTTCTGATGCAGAAAATGTGTAATGTTATAAGACATTTTATTAAATTTAATAAGTTTTCTTGAGTCGCAGATGGAATAAAAATATATACAAATCATTATTACCATCCGTTTATATAAAGTATTTCGGCAATCTTTTTGAAGCTTTTTTTATGCGGAAAGTTATTCGTTTGTTATGAAACTGTGAGGGGTTCAAAGCTGAAGTGTATTATTTTCATTTCAAAAATCCTAAAATCTATTGTTGCATCTGCATAACATACAACAGAAACCTGTAAATATTTATTACATTTTCTGAACATATTTCACAGTACCAATTCTCTTGAAAATTTATGTAACTTAGATTTTTTGGATATCCACATTTATCCGCACCTCAAACTAAAATTGAGTAACTCCCTTCAACTTCAGATATGGGGCGCTATCAAAAATCCATTTGTATGTATGTATTGTGATTGTTTATAAAAACCAGTAAAAAAAAAGAATAATACCTCTCAAAATTTGAAGCGTCCGCGCTTTAATACTATACCGCCATTTAGAAAAATTTTAAAAATCACGTTTTATACAAAAAAATTAACTTTGTTTTCTCATATTCTTATTCTTCAGTTTTGAAACCCTTTATGTAGGTAAATTTGTAATTGATTTTGAAATTATAATTAGGTAATGGGTGAACTGAGATTTAAAAATTAAAAAAAATATTCAAATTCCTACGCGCGCCTTGACTTTCGAGATCCAGGGACACATGTCAACACCAGAGAACAAGATTTTATTAGAAAAAAATTACCAAATTTACCCCAGGAACTACATGAAAACAGAATAACATATAAAGCAATATAAACATAATCTTGTTTGTTTCTTCCATGAACTAGCCAGACCAACAAATTGTACAATGGTTTGATTAGGTATGTAAAATGTAGACAACGGCGGTATTATGTACAAGGTGGTTCCAATTTTAGCAGGATTTTAAGTTATAAAGAACCTTAAGCCAAAAAGGTCGTACAGAAAGCATCCTTTCTATTACAGTGTTTCAAAATATTTTCTTTTTGTTTTTTTTTTTAAATAAATAATTAATGAAAATGGCTCATAAACTTCGCGAAAAAAATAACCGAAAATATATTTAAAAATGTCTTCGTATTTCAGTTCCATAAAAAAGTAATATTTGCGTCTGTTACCAAGTGTTTTCTTTTAGAAATTTAAATTATGAAAGCTAGTTAATAAATACCTTTCTTGTTTTAATGTTTAAGCCTCTTGAAAAACTTTTCATGTGTCATTTTATCCTTATTCATACTAGGTGTTAAATTTTTCTTGCAAATCAAGCTTTCCCGTTTTAGCCCTCTGGTTACATGTTAATTCGAATAACTAAGCTAACCGAAAATTCCGTCAAGTATATACAGAGCGTTCAAATAGTGTGTCAAAGTAATATATCTCATTTATTATTTGTTTTACTACTTTTTATACTGAATTATCAATTATGGTCTATACTGAGCGTCTTCGGATTTATGGCCATTTTTTCGTCAAAAATACCCTGTGTTTAACACCCTATATTTTTGGCGCCGTTTCGGACAGCTGTAATTTTATTATACCAACAATTTTATAAAGTGGTACAATTATTATAATATAAAAGTTAATCATTATAATATAAATATCTTCAAGTGAGTTCCAATTGTAATATACAGGGTGAGTAAAAATTAAAAAAATAATTTTCGTAAAAAATTTCAAAATTCAATTTCATTAAGCATGCCCTATACCTAAACTTAGTATTTTTTGAGATATACTCATTTTTACTAACAAAATACTGAATATTTTCAAACCGTGCGAAAATATCACGAGATTGAGAACAAAAAATAAATATTACTTGAATGTGAAAAGTCCACAGCGACGAATGCACCATAATTATTTCGGATAATGTAATGCTGAAATAATTTATTAAACTCGAAACAAATCATTAATAAATAATAAATCCGAAAACACTCGGTATAGAGTATAACCCATAACAACCCTACATTGGGTGATTGAGTATAAAAGGGAGTATCTACTGATGCTATAAAATTCAGCGAGTTTCATTTAAAAATATATAAGTTTGGGTTACAACATGTATATTTGAAAATGATTTTAAATTGTTTCATTTAGTCTTATTTATAATTTTTGTATTTAAACTTTTTTATAAAACAAATAATAAACTAGATATATTACGGTGTTGTATATAATTAACTATGACGAAGAATGAGTTGAGGACGTGAACGCAGTACAAAAGTGTAAGAAAAAAATTATAGTGTGACATGTCTAGTTCCTAAGCTGACAAAATTGTTACAGATATTGATTAAACACTCGACCAACATATAGGGTGTAATATTACAATTCAATATTTAACAAACAAATGTGGTGGCAAACGTTAGACCTTAAGATGTTGACGTTGAAAGTAAACCGTTCTTTTCAAAAAATTACAACACAACAATATCAGATTTACTGCGTTTTGAAAAATGAAGATTCGGAATTCGGCATTAGTTTTAACCTAATTCATAGAGGGCGCTTTTGAACTTAACTACTAATTAATTTTTTTATAATTTTTACTCTACAAAATTTACATTTGCGTGTAAAAAATATACTCTTGGTCAATATCGAGTCCTTCGTTTAATTTGTTTGTAGTTATTTTTTAAAACTGAAGAATTGTTAATCAGTCGTGTTTACTAGTTAATTATCAGTTGCGTATGTACCCTTACAGTGTTACTATAAATAGTCAAATAGACTTTTTTGGTTGATCAGAAAGGGCAGTGAAAAATATTAAAAATCAACATGTCTTAAAGATAGGCAAAAACAAACTAATTCAAATTTACAGTTTAGTATTTTATTTGTTTCTGAATTGAGTTTTTAAATAAAATTTACTTGTGAAAAATTTGTTTCTGTTTTTGATGCTTCAATGAGAACTTACAACCATCGAATAATTCATTTTGGGATAAAAAGCTCTCCAGGTAACACAATTGTATGTGCAGTAAATTTTTTTTATATTCTAAAAATTCTCAGTAGGCATTAATGTGCAGCGAAAACATTTAAGCAATCACTTACAGGTTAAAATATTTGAAGATGTATATCTCAATGAGGTTTATAGTAGAACAACAAGATTATCATTTATTATTATTTATAAATTTTAGGGCATAACGGTTCTGAATAGGAAACAACTATGATATTCAAACAAAAAAACGTCACATGTTGATCCAATCCACTAATGATCCAACCTTTGGGACGCAAGGGTAATGATTTCTCAGCCTGGCTTACTCAACAAGTTTAGGATGGACAGTGCATAAGTAATCCAGAGCCCAAGAAAAAAAACCTTCAAAATAAAATCAATACTTGTAGCAATTTTGCTAAATATAAATATCCCTCAAAAGTGATGAAATTTGATGTACATTTTACATTTACCTACAATTTATTGAACAGGAACCGCTACCATTTTGCATACCAGTAATTTGGTATTCAGCGCAAATGAGAATAACAAAACTAAAACAGATGGAAATTTCAACAGGTGATAAAAAGGATTTTCCCTACTTCTTCAACCGTCAATTGCACATACGTTGCGGTATGCGCGATTTAAATCGCTTCTCTTTGATGGACAGCACAGATGGTTGTTCATCCGGTGACTCCTCCACCCTTGTAACGATACTTTCAGCCAGCTCGTCAATATTATTCCCTGAAGTTCGTGGTGACATTGATTGACCTGGATCAGAGTCAGGCTGGCGTTCTGACAGTCGAATCACTTGAGGCGCAGTCACTCTACTGCCTCTGAAATAAAAAATTAAGATTGGTGGGCGTATCATTGGTAGTTGCGAGTGTTACCGCAGAATAGAGGTTATGATTCATGTTTTGATATAATTTGACACATAAGAGGGGAATGGGCGTCTATTTTTTTATTTTTCTCTGAATTCAAAATATCCTGGGGATTTGAAGGCTTAGTTATGAATTCAACTTCCTTAATTTGTTAAAACTAAAAACAAAAGACATTTATAAAATAACCACCCATTTGAATTTTAAACAGTCATATTAATGGTTAAACTTCTAAATATTGTACAAATAAATTAAATGAGGTTAAGTGGCTGTTTCTAGAGTGGCTTTTGAAAAAACTCTTAAAGTAGATTTAGAGTAGTAGTTTAGTATTTAGAGATCAGCAGTATCCCTACAACTAAATAAGAGATCCACGGGGAACACAATAAATATTAACTACAAAAAAATTAAATGCAATTTATATTTAAACTAATATATACCAACTTATTTATTAAATCTATTTTTTTTCATCACCAACATTCACACAACAATAACAGAAAAGAAACTTATGTTTAACACTTCGTCGAAAAAAGATCAAATATTAATAAACTACTAGGACTTTCTTTTGTTTATTGGTTTTATTGCTAAGTATTTTGTGTATTAATGGTACATATATTTAATAACTATAAGAAAAACAGGTAAATAAAACACACAAATAAATTATTTTAAGGCAAAATAAAAAAGGGCAGTTTCCTATAAATATTCAGTGCCCTAGAGAGATGGATTGTCACAATGTTTGCTACAACAGACTAACTGATTAACCGGGAAGTTTGCGCAACCTTACATAAACCCAATATAGGAGTGGTTCAGTAACAATTTAAACTATAATTTCTTTGAAGCAAAGCAGAACCAGATGTACAACTTTAAAAAAAAATTTTAAACTTAAAACTTTGCTTTTCACAAAATCACTTTCTCATTCAACATTCACTACTTTCAAAAAAAGGCACCTAAGGGAACTACATACCGCACCTCACACTGCATTTTACCCAACTAGGCACTTTCGTTATTCAGTGAGTATTATAATTTCACATTCATATCGAATAGCATCACCAATTTAAGGTTTGGTCAAGATTTTCAGCCATGATGCTTCCAGTTCAAGATTTAAGTTTCGACTGAATTTTTTACATTAAAGTGAATTAAATCTTTATCAGCATATGTCGTCTCCTTGAAAATGCTAAACTGATGATTCGCAAACACTTTTATTTGTTGAGATCATACAATTTCTGCCACTTGTAACCAATAACTTAAACAATAGTGAGATAAAGCACACAGCATTAAAAAATGCTCGATGCAGTCATATATATTTTTCAGAGTGGGTACTTGGGCGCTTTTTAAATATCAAAAAAGCATTTTCGAAATTGCACAAAGTATCATATGTTACGATTCTACTGCCACTACTACGGTAAAAATTGATTCGCCTTAAGTAACTACATTAGTTTCATAGAGATGGTAATGATCTTCCGCGCAGGCCATAAAAATGCCGGAACCAAACTTATTGACGATCTCTCAGCGGCTATGTTGGTGGTTCAATGCCCCAAGGTTATTGGTTGAAAACTTAAGGTTAAAAATCGCGCATGCGCATGATGAATGGACCATCTCTTTTTTTTTTTTTCATAGTTCCAGTATTCATAACATAGGCAGGACCTCTATATCTCTAGCAGCTGTATCGTTTTGTGTGTTGTGGTCAAAACATAAGCACAGGAAATAATTACACAAAATACGCGAAAAAGAGAGCACTTAAGTACTACAACTCAAGAAATTTTTATCAAGACAACTTTCCTATTTAACAAAAATATCCTTCAGAACATACATTTTATACCACTCAGGTTAAACTATGTATTTGACAGCAGTTCAAAGTAATCATTGTTGTAAGAAGCATTTTATTATTATGAAAGATGTCATATTTTTTGCCTATTAAAAAAATATAATCAGTCTCTTAAAGCTCTATGCATAGTCATACTGTGTGCCTAAATGTGCGTGTGAACTGAGCATTAGCAAAAACCAAATTCCTAGCATCTCTCATATATTTTTACAACTTAAATTAAATAAGACTAACCCCAGCTTGGTATGTTGATCATTTCCTTAGGTAAGGGTTTTTTCCAACATTTCGCACCAGCGTGGTAGGAAAATTCTGTGTATTTTGAATGTAAAGTGATATTGTTGCTCACGTAAGATTAAAGTATCATCTAGGATTACTTTTTGGGGCTAGCATTAAGGATCACACTGTATATACCATATCGATAAAGTATTTTATCAAATATTATAATTTGCCATGGAACGCATGGTTTTGGATTGAAGCATATATTTGATAAGGGTAGAATATAGAAAAATTCATAATTTAAATATTTTTGAAATCATGGTAATTCATGGTAATACAAAACAATAATTAAAGTTACATTATAAGAGAAAAAATTAGCAAAAAATGTACAATCATGGTCACTGTTTAATGATTTTATAATTACCATAACAATGTAATAATATTATATGTAAGTCAAAAAACATAGTGATCACCTCTGCGGTAACACTGGCACTCACCTGAATACACTACTACAAAAATATCATTTGCAACCCTACCCTGCAAGGTGCAAGTTACGAGCGAGTATGGAACGGACATCTGATGTAAATCTCAAGGCGTCCAAGACAGGTAATAAGTTAAGTAACGCAACATCCGTTGGATCTGAGAACCATGACTTGATGGGTATCGCATTAACTAAAAACAGATACATTGATAAATTGTATTAAATTTAAAGTTTTCCCAAGGCTAGATTTAAAAAAACGAATATTTAAAAAGTAACAAGATATCTGCAGACTAACTTACAGGGATAGGTTTTATATGCTCCTGGGCTATTGTCTACAATAAATATGCTAGAGAGATCTTCGCAAATAGAACTGAGGTCTTTAGTATAACCACAAAACAATGGAGTACAGTGTTGCCGGTAGAACCGCCTCTTTAGAATGCCTCGGCCGGCATCCAATTTATCAGCAACTGCAGCACCATAAATCTCCATGCTTGCTGTGTATATAACTAATTCATACCATTGAGAAACCTATAATAATTAAAGATATAATAAATTGAATAATAAAACTAACTTCAAATTCATCAGGTAGCTTTTCGAATGTTATCTTTTTAACAGAAATGATATTCCATCATGACAAATTAGCGAGCACCAAAAAATTAGTAGTTTTACATATTACAGAACATACCTAATTCCAAGCTCATCACCCAGTCACCTATCCTAACAAATATTATAACTATGTAATCTATTAATTTATCTGTACTTAGAACTCTCACCCTTATCTACAAAAACATTCTGTTTAATTTTTTTGCAAAATTGATTTTTATCTTCTTCACCTTTATCTCTGATTCTGTTCAATTGTTTTTTTTTTTACTTTTTGTGATAATAAATACAAATCATAGTTTTAATTATGTTGGAGTTTTAAATAGATTAATACTCACAATATCCAGAAAAAAGTCAACATGCGGACGTTTGTGCACAAAGAACCTAACTGGATGTCTATCAATGATCACTTTTAAGCTAAAATCAGGTGGAACCCCAGGCCTTACAGTTTGTCTCACAACACCATCATGATGTGAATGAATCAAAGTTTCGTCTAAATCTAGCACCAAGATTTTTCTCTTAACTATACCTAAAATAAATTACAAAAATATATCTTTTTTTTTTGTTTTAAAACCTACATTAAGTTTTAATAAAAAAAAAACAATAAAGAACACATTTACATAGCAATTTATTATTTTGTTAATTAAAATAAAAAAAATATTAAACTAAGCATGGGTAACTCTTTGAGAAGATATATAAATTCAACTTGATCAATTATTTTAACAGTGGAAACCACATTCATTTTTTAAAAGTGCAACATAGAATGGATATTTTTTATTAATTTATAAGATGAGTGAAAGAAGCAGTCACAAACAACAAAATATACACAAAAAAAATCGGATTGAAATGTTACTCCGATGTCACCAAAATGCATGCATGGCAATACTTACTTAATCGGTGCCGTGACAGTGGAGACAGAGGAAACAGATCATATTTTACGGACTGGTGTTGTATTATCTGTAAAAAGTAAAGTTGGTCAATTGCCAGTACAAATGGTGCCAAAATTTTCAAATGCTCTTTATCACCTTTTTTAATTTTTACACTTTCTCTTATTAGACAACATCAAAACTTGATAAACAACTCATATCTTTTTAAATGATTGCCGTTATCCCAACAGAAAAAGGGAATGGTAAAATTAAGCACAAATATTTACAAAAAAAAATAGAGGCTATGATAAAATTGTTGAAAGTTCAATAAAAAAAAACACTAAATTTTGGTTGTTTTAATATTGTTAATATTAAAAATATCCAAACAGTCATATACTTACCGATCTCGTTTGCTTTCTTAGAGTAAAACATAAACATCCCCATATTCGAGACGCTATAAGCCAAAAAGCTCTAAGACCCATCTCCAATTGTTTCCACATTTGAAGTTTGAAGTAACTTATATCCCAGAAAAATAAATGAAATTAAAGAACATGTATAATATTTACGCGCAAACAAAATGAATTTCGATTTTGATGCTTCCCTTTATCACATTTTACCTTCGGCATCAATCAAAACTGTTCACCAGAGAACGAATTTATGCTAATTATTATAACAGGCTGATATCACCATGGAAAAAAATATTGGTGGTTTGACCAATCCGGAATCAATGATAATTAGGCTGCATTAGGAATGATTATTTTTAAAAAACTAATCCATGATACTGCGGTATATGTGTTATTTCCATGAAATATCAATTTTTCCAGGATTCAATTTTAATTTCCACATTAAAATTTCACACAGCATTCTAATCTAGTATCTGGTTCTGGCTACATCACCACAGATGACGTCCTGTTGTTATTGCACGTATATTTTAATAATAAATTTATAATTTTTACAACAGACTGCAAGTTTTGTTAACTAAATAAAACAGTTATTATGATCATTCAATCAATATATGTGTTTGTATTGCCACAATCTTTGGTATAAAAATGGAGGTGCTACATATATATATATATATATATATATATATATATATATATATATATATATATATATATATATATATATATATATATATATACATATTATAAAGTATCAACGGACAATTCAATTATTTTTCTAACCAAATCTGTATTTAAGGTTGGCCGAATGGTCACTCAAAATTGCCCATAGTAAGAACGCGAGAGATATTTGAGGTTAATTTTGGTTGAGATTTGATTGTTATAAAAGTTCTAATATTAAAATTTATTGGTGGTCAAGATTGAAATAAAAATCTCATAGTCTCTGTTTTATATGATCAACAGTTCAACGCGGTTTTGGTTAAAAGTAGTCATTATGGGAAATACAGTGTCGGCAGCTGAAATAGCTGCTGCCCAAATAGTTCATCCAAATAAACCAATGGAAAAGTGGGATGATTATCATGAAGAATACATAAAAATCCCACAGGAGTGTCCTATGCATCAGCAGTATCAGTCGGAGTGTCCTGTAAAACATGAGCAAAATGATATTAATCCATTAAACATGGCATGTTTAAATAGTTATACATTTACAGCTGGTTATTAAAATTAGGCTTCTAGATGGGACCAGCGAACCAAAATCCTGCACCTGGACAACCATTTGCTCTGTCAAAAAATCGTGAACTTTCAACCATACCTAAAGCTGTTGTAAAAGAGGGAGAGAGTTCATTTTGGGTATATCCCAGTCCTCAGGTGTGTCTAAGAAATTCATAAATAATTTGTTTTATTAATTAAATATAATTTAATTCAATTTTCAGATGTTTTGGAATGCTATGTTACGAAAAGGTTGGCGTTGGAAGGAAGAAGACATTTCACAAAAGGATATGGATGCCATCATTAAAATTCACAATGCAAATAATGAAATGGCATGGCAAGAAGTGTTAAAATGGGAAGCTCTACATGCCACAGAATGCATGGATCCTAGGTATATGGACTCTGTTTACATTAAACCTTGTTTTTAGCAAATGATTTGGTAAATATTTTAGATTAAAGAGTTTCGGAGGTAAAGCAACTGAGTACAGTCCACGTGCTCGGATAAGACACTTTCTGGGTTATGAATTACCATTTGATCGCCATGATTGGATAATTGATCGTTGTGGGAAAGAAGTCAGATATGTTATTGACTATTATGATGGTGGTAAGGTGAATAATAAATATCAGTTTGCTTTGTTGGATGTCAGGCCGGCCATGGATAGGTAAGTGCTAAAGTTGACAGGGGTTATTTTTATATTTTTGCATTGCAGTTTTGAAAACATTTGGGACAGAATGAAAGTGGCTTGGTGGAGATGGTTTTATAGTCGAGAATAGGACCTACAAAAGGTGTTAGTGTAACTTAACTTATTGGATCATTAAAAGAATGCTTGATGTGAACATTAATCAAATTAGTAGTATTATGTTGTTTAGGAAGAAATCAAAGTTTTGAAAAATGAACTCTTTTGTACTCTACAACCCAGTCCGATGTATTTTTTTTCACTGTTCAGTATGTGAGGAATTTACCGATGATACCCAGTAAGTTTTTCTCTAACATTAATTTCCAAAATTCCAAAAATAAAATTGTTCCAATTTTGAAAGCCATTTCTTGCAAACAATTAAATTCCCAAGTTTGCCTTGGGGAGCCAATATGTAATATTTACTTGTAATACATCTCTGAATGGCGAAGGTACAAAAAAATCAATTTATAAAATAATATAACTGTCTAATTCTATAGATACCCATTTTAGCGACCCTGTCACAAATCCCATTTTGGGAATGGCAATTTCTGTATTCGCAAATGTTCCTGAACCGGTTTCACAGGTTGGTATACAGTGGTTTGAAAGACCCATCCTACCCCAATTACTACTACTTATTATTCAATGATGATAAAATAATGGTAGGCCAATGCTTAATCTTATTTATTTAAAATTCCTATTTTCAGCGTTTAATACATTTGGTTCAAATCGGCTAATTTATGTAGGGTACTCATTTATTATTGTTCAAATCAAACAAGACCATAAAATGGTCTACAAGCAATTTTTTACAAAAAAAATTACAGTGACACAACACAATAGTTTTGGTTAGTTTTGCAAGCAATGAAAAACATTTTAATAATACATATTTTTAAACGACTGAATTCGTCAAACGCGATGGTGAAATCGTCACTCCGTGTAAAACTTAACGAAACCTAAAATATATTTTGTGCGAAGTAGCACGTCGCTAACTATTAATAATTTATAATTTATCTAACCTTTATATCCGATACTTACGCTCCGGGTTCTCTATCCGAAGGGCTTAATTCAGCGAGAGGCGTTTGACCTTCAGATCGTCAGTAAGTTTAGATGCGGCATATTTACGGTAGTATTTTCTCAAAATATGTTCAGATCCCATTAAATCTTCAGGTAAAAATTAGTTAATTATGTGGAGATCGCTGTTTTGAAAAAAAAATGGACCAAAGTAGGTTAGTTATACAATGTGAATTTGAACAAACCAATAACAATTATGCCCCCTAGCGAAGGAGAGAAGGTGATTTTGTTTATCATAAATTGGTAGCCCTAAGAAATCTGTGTGGGTTATGTGTGAATAAATTAGCAAGCAGGCAGTATATTTTCACATGACGTTTTTGAACGCTGCGTGGAGTGGGGGGAGAGTTTTGCAAGAGCAAATAAAATGCTTTGGATATTATTTTAACCATTTTTATTGTAAAATGACAAAGAATAATAACTCTAAAATTTTAATATATAGTTGATATAGTTATAATATGTATTTGAGTACATGATTTTAACTAAATAAATATAATTTTACACTTTACAGATGTACAAATCTGTATTTTATTCAACTTATAAATACTTGTTAACCAACTGAACTGGCCATTCATGTTACCGGTAATACTGATCTTGGCACCAGAGATTAGATCAAATTCAAATAACAAATATTTGTGGCTTACAATTATATATTATTACAAAAAATTGCACAGAGGTTGTAATTAAAGTGATGTAATAACATTTGGACTATTTTCGGCATTCTGCACTTTCTTCCTTTCTTATGTTTTAAGTGAAGCACTGAAGTTTTTAGGAAACCTTGATTTAATTACATTTCCGTTTCGTATTTTTTTTAACAAGATGTGAATAAGAAAATTGTGTAGATAGCCTTAATTAATCAAACAAATGGCAGCCTCTGTGTTAAAATGTGGTGAAATAAAAAAAATACGTTTGACATTAAACCTGGGTCAGCAATAACTAACACTACCCCTTTTTAAAAGATTCATTCAAAATAATATAGATACTATTTTGCCAGTGCTGCCGTCTTATTTGTTAGCTATCTATATTGCAAATTAAAAGGAATAGAATTTATGCAATGTGATATTTTTCCACAGTGTTCTACATATGTTTGAAAACAAATAGCTCAACTAAAACCAGAATCTGGTTGTGCACATATCTAAAAATGCATATTTTTTGTTAAAACTTTAAAATTGTGCCCATAGTTAAGCTAATCTACAATTAATACTAAAGATTAACCATCTAATGTTTTGTTTTATATAACTTTAAATAGAATATAATGGGAATATAGATATATGATGCATATCTGGCTTGTGTCAGTGTGTGTTTTTTTATACTTTTTTTTAAATTTATTTACTGATTTGTTTTTAGTTGATCCCACGTTCCAGGCAAAAAGCCTGTTAACATTTTTTGTTTTTTTTACATACTCGTGCGCCAGTCCACTCTCTTTTTTATCAATCACAATTCTTTTGATACTTCTGAAAATAGATTCGACCAGATTATGAATTTCAGGTGATATTATGTATTTGACAACTTTATTTTATTTTGGATTTTATTTGTTAGTTATTTGGTTTGGGTTCTTTACCAAACGTGTTCATTTATTGAAAGACGATAAACTAAGACAATAAATTAGAAAATTATAATACCGTTAATAAAGTTGTAAAATACAATATTTTTTCATGATAGCATAGATGCAAACAGGCGAGTACCATTATCAACAATACTTATCAAAAATATATACATATATTCCAAATTCGGTTTAGTTTTGTCTAGTTTATTAATATTATTATTGACATTTAGTTAGGAATTTTTAAAATAAAGCATGTTTAAGCAGTAGACGAAATCATGGTGAATACTTTGTTAAGAATTTCAAACTGTCTTCGGGTTAAACATCTTTCACTTTTATGTAGTCTGGAAATTTTTCTCGTCAATTTTTCACGATAGTGATTGTTCTATTTTCAGAAGAACCAAACAAACTCAGTCTAAAAGCGATACAAAAAAAAAAAATAAAACCAAATGATATTACTTGAAAATAAAAGTTTAATCAAACTTGCAAAATCAAGTAGGTACTAAAAACTAAGGACTAAGAAAGAATAAATGCGCATATATAAGGAAATAAGTAATACAAAAAAAAGCGGGGGGGGGGGGGGTGACCTGGAAAAAAAAGAATCTAAGGATTTAAAAATTAATAGAGTGCAAAATAAAAGACGTCAAATTTAATATCTTCGAAAGACACGTCGTGTGTACTCAAAAGTAGCAAAATGTTAAAAAAATATATCATTTCAAAACAGTCACACAGATATATTGTAGATATTGACTTCAATTTGGCAAATGCTTGCGTGCGTGATATGTGCCTTAAAACGACAGTATAAAATTTTAGTTTATACAAATAACAGGAAGATTTTTTTTGCAGTTAAGGAAACATAGAAAACCCACAACTCCCTCAATTTATTTTTGGTTATTTTGTTCTTCGTATTTAATGCCATTAATATGTATCATTGCATGAATAAACAACTTTCAACAGCTGATTTTTAAACAATTTGTACTTAGTTATTTTTTGCCATTCACCCTTTTAAATTTTTTGTAAACATGGGACAAATGGTTTTTACATATATTTACATATGTTTACTTCTAACTAATAAAGTTTTGATAAATTATGGCAGGATCTTTAGGAATTTGAAGATTATCAGTTTTTGACCTGTTATCAATAGCCCTTCGGCATATCCGGAAAAATGCTGTACAACCGACTAAACCTGGGAGAAACAAATTTTAATAAAGGCTTGTACCCTATATAAATTTTGTTTGGTGGTATGTATTTTCTATGCTTCATTAACAATAAATTATACATACATATTTAGTACCAGAGGAATAAGCATCAATTGTTTAAAAACCCATTTCGGATGTCATTGTTTAAAATAAGATATTTTACATTCTTGCTGCAATTGCAATGAAATTCTGCAGAAAATTTGAAGAACAATTTAAAGAAAGTACCTCCAGTTGGTTTGTACAGGAGAAAATTTCGATCACGCTCTCATTTCCATTTTTACAAAATTAAATTCATGATTGTCAAAGTGTATAAGTATAGAGATATAGAGAAAAATTTATAAATACAGTGAAAGTTTCAGGCAAACATGTCAGACATAGGTAAAATACAAGAGACAGTATAGTTGAAATACGAGATTCTTTTTCATTTCTTTATTAGAAGAACACTGTAAAACTTTGCTTGGCCTCGAAGTGTTCTATTTTGGGTAAAATGAGCTGAACTAGCAAAAAATTAGGCGGCACTATTTTACAATATTCAACCTCAAGAATGTTGCCGAGGTAAAACACGATTGCCTGCATTGAGAGGCAATATGAATTGCTCCCTACTAGAAATACAATTTATACCTCTAGGGGTATGGCTAACACCCTGTGATTACCCTATACTAATGTCACTGGCTAACCACTACCAAATATGCTAAGAAACTCCGCGACAATTAACAATACTATAGCCATTAATACTATGTATATATTTATATATATTCATTTATTTTAAATAGGTTATACCCATGTAGATTTTGTGTTTTGGAAAACCTTCTTAATTTTTTCTTGGTATCACTATCCATATTATTACCTTAAAATATAAAAATGTCATTATTATGTATTACTTGAACCTGAAATCTAAAATTGTAACAAAAATTTTATCATGTTAGTGCCTCAATTAGGTCATCATCTATAGTTAAAAACCCTAATGTAACTCAACAACTATAATAATAAATTTTTAAAATTTTGCAACAATTAAGAAGGTCTTATCTCAATAAACAACCTAGTTTTTGTGTGTCTTCTAGGAAAACACACATTGAACATTTTATATATATATATATAATATAAACTTACAAAAAATAACATCGCGGCAAATTTCAATAACTTTAATATAAATCTTACGATTTTCTTGTTACGCCTGTTCAACAGTTTGCTTAGGCAATATTAAAGCAAATATTAATACTGGACAAGAAAACAACACAAAGCAGAATTGTATAAAAAGAACATATAAAGAGATTGCATGGAAAAAGCTACAAGTAAAACTACAACCTAGTAAACCTAACCTATAAAAAATACTTACTTTGTATACTGCATTTGTCGGATTGTTCAATAAACAAAAAAGTAAATCTAACTTGCAAATTGACAGTCTATTGTAACATAATAGTATATGTTAATTTCTTAATTGTAATAAATAAACGATGTTTTTATCGATTAGCTACCATCTTTGTGACTCGGCCAATGGAATGAATACTGTGCTCCAAGAATTGGTATCCCCTTTATATACTTGACTTTGAAAATGATACCCTCAAGTGGTTTGACTCAGACAGCTGGTAATTGTGCATTTTTATTAACGCTATAACAGCCTCTTCCATACTTGGGAGTTGGATTAGCGCCATTTTCTTGTCTTTTCTACAGAGAAGGAAAAAATAATTAATTAATAAGCTAACTCATCAAAAAATATCCCCTGTCACCAAATGAACTACAAATATCGGTTGATTGGCAAATTATTCATTATTTAAGTGTATGTGTCATTTCAACCCCATCTTTTTTCAATGTAAAAAAGTTATACTTTTAATTGGATTTCGGTGTTTACATAGCGCCCGTGTCCTATAAGTACAGCAAGATTTTTGGAGAATTATTTCGTCACAAAAATTTAAAAAAATGTTTTTACGTTTTTAGCATATATTCACACCTTTTTATTCCTGCGGTGCATATTCGAAATTCTGTCACAATATGAATGGTAGTACTGTATTCTAGATTAAATCTTTCCCTACTTCATATGGAAAAAGTGATTTTTTCTATCTTTAATCGTTTAGTTTTTTAGTTAGTTTAAAATGATCAAAGATTAAGAAACAGTTTTTTTCATGGGATGTTAATGTTCATATTTTACCCTTTTCGACCCTTTGGATACGAGTTATACATAACGCAACTTACGGAAAGAATTTAAAGGCTTTAACGGTAAACCCATTTTTAGTAAAAGCCTCTTTAATATCATCCTCATTCACGGTTGCCGGGATGTTGCTCAGGTGTAAGGTTGAGGAGGGTGGATAAATGTTCTGATAATTTTTCGAACCCGGCTTCTTGAATCTATGCAATGGACTCTGGCTGTAATCTTTGGTTAAACCAGCGTCGGGTTGGCCTTCTTTAGGCATTTGGACCGACTGATGTTTGCTTAGCATCACCCGGATGTTTTTGCCGAACACTTTGAGCTTATCCATGTGAGTTATAGCTGGAACATATTAAATATATATTTTTCGAAAACGGTTGGCTCATAGTTTACCAAGATGTGCTTGATGTGGTTCAGCCAGCTGCACCAATGCAGAATCCTTTTTGTTGTATAATATCTTAACCCGCTGGACGTCGCCATATACTCCTAAAATTGTAATGCAACAATGAAAATAATGAAATGCAACATTGAAATATATGTGAATAAAAAAGTGGATGATGTAGTGACATAAGTGAACAAAAAAATCTAAACAAAAAATCTATAAAAATGACAATTTATAGATCGGTAGAACTAAATGGAAAGGAGGTTTATAACATTTAAATAATGCAGTCGAATTAAACAAAGACTTTATTTTAAAAAGTACATTGAAAAATTCGACAGAACAAATAACATAAATTAAATACACCATGAAAAAGTTTCGAAACATATTAACGTCATGCAAAAAAAAACAACAAACCTACAACAAAATGAAAGAAAATAGAATCATTTTTTAAACAACTTACAAAAAATGAATTATCTAGATGACTAAGCAGAAAGCTTAACAAGATAAGAAAAAGATAATAAAAACAAATAAAAAACAAATAAAGAAGGAATGACTAACGCTCAATTTTATTTGGGATTTTTTTATAGCATAACCGGATTTTTATATACTTGCGGAATGTTTTATTGACTTATAGTTAACACTTATACATTATTTAGTTCTTGTTGTTTCTTTTATTTTTTGTTTTATAGTATACGTAGTATAGTAGTAGTATACCAACGTTGATTTTATAATAAAAGTGGGAAGAGATATGAATAAGTAAAATATGAAGCGCTTTATAATTCCCAAGTAAAATCGTCTTTTACAAAGATTGTTATTTTAACCAATTCTCAAATGAAATCAATACATAACGGAAAAAAACACCCAGAAATGTTTAGTTTGAGAATGAACCTAAGAGAAATAAAAGGGGCAATCAATGTTAGAATGTTAAAATTAGTGTTAATAATTGGTTAAAAGAACAAAATTTGTTGATATTATCAGATAAAAAATTAATATCATATAATTAAACGTGAAAACATACCAAATAGTGTAAAGAGAGCGTCAGGCGTGACCATCTACAAATAGAAGAAAGATGACAGTAGAATGTGACGTGGCACAAAGAGGTAGTGCGGTTTATTTTAGACCGCCGAGAAGGGGGGCAGCAAATGTAAAAAAAGAAAAACAGCGTATTAGATTTTTCGTCATTGTATAGGCAAAAAACAAAAAAAAATTGGTTCCATCGTTATTACTATGTGTGGTAATTCAAATGGAGTTCATAGGTTTTTTTCTATACCTTATTATTAATAGTCTAAAATTAATTATTAATAAATAATTGTATTAGTGTAATTAATGTAATAAATAATTTTTATTGCATTAACAAACTGTGTAAAATACTTTTGAAAAAAACCTTTTCAACCTTGTTATCATAGATAAGTTATTAGAATGATATATGAAATATCTTTCCAAATTCAAAATATTTCATTTATACAAAAAATTATGTGAGTATGCATACTTTTGTAAAAAAAGGACGAACCTAAAATTATGATCCACTATTTACAAAAATAGAAGACTTTTTGCTAATGTTTATACCGTACCTAAAATCTGCCAAACCAGTTAAACAAAAATTAAATACCTTAAAAGACATTAAAAGCAAATGTTCCAATGTTAACCGTATAGGTTTCGAAAATGTAAAATACACTCAACTATTTTCACGAAATTTTTGTTAGTGCTATTCCCAGCGAACAATATTTTTGAATACTAAACATTATACACATTGCCGGGAGATTCTTCTATATCTCCAAGGTATTTGTTTTATCGAAAAACTTATTAGACGTATGAGTACGAGGGCGCTGAATACAATAAAATTAGATTCCCTTCATACAGGGATATCTCGTAATTAAGTCTCTTACAGCACCTATCTATTATTTACAATGGAACACACGTATATTGTTCCATTTTTGTATTTTGGAAAATTGACACTTTTTGAGATAACAATAAACATTTTTTTGAAAATTTCGGCACTTGTATCAGCAAATTCCTTAGATCTTTCGTATAAATTAAATTTCGGTATGTGTATATTACCTCATTTTATTGGTCAAGATCAATATATATTTTTTTCACAAGGGTGGTTTGCTATGACAATAGTCAAAAAGTCAGTTTTTTACATTATTGTTTCAATGAAATATCCACTCAATAGGCTTTCAAACAATCATAAAGCCGGAACAGAATAAAGAATAATGAATAATCAGTTGAACTAAATGTACATATACAACGTGGCTTTCCTTAAGTTGAAAATCTTAATTCTTAAATAATAACTCTACTAACTTTAATGAACAGAAGGTTGTGCCATTATTATGCAAAAAGTACTTTGTACAGAGATTCATGAAAATGAATTTTACTAATTTAATAGTTACTTATTAGTGGTTGGACCTTCTTTTAATATATTTTTTGTAAGTCTGTACATACAAGAAAATACTTTTCTTGCACTGAAGTGAACGGATTTCGTTATTCCAAATTCTTCGATGTTCATGTGGTATTCCATAACCAACGGATAATTGAGTTCTAGTTCTAGTTTCTCTACATTTTATCGAAAGTGATGTCATTATGAAATTTTTTAGAGCTGCAGATTCAAGCTTTAGAAAAAACTTTGTTCAATTCAATTTTATGAAAAATATCTTACTTAAATTTACTGCGGGGTGCGAAGGTTTCGGATCATATTTAGGTAAAATCAACCGATTCATATAAATGTATGAATAACAAAAATTCCGTAATCCGTCGTCCACAGAAACAGATACGTAAAAGGAAGATACGTAAAAAATATCACTACGTCAATATCTCGTGTACGACATATTTTTGCAAGATAAACATTCACTATATAAATCCTAACCTAATTAATCCTACAGCATATACTATATAAAACCTACTTGAATCAAATAAGAATAAAAATACTGACCTCCTCGTTTAGATTGCTAACTAAAAGCACGGTGGCTAATGCTAGACCGGGAGTTGTAAGGCTCCTGAGCCCTGGCGCAGCTTGTCCCAGCGCAGCTAGACTACCCAGTCCAGGTATCGCTCCCGTGACGGTCGGATAAGGAGTTGCTAGTGGGGAAGTTAGTCCGTGCATAAAGGGCCCATTAAGGACACCAGGAGCTCCGGCCAATAAGGAATCTCAAAATCAAACATTTTGTTCGATGATTGTTCGCCAAAAAATCGTTGGGGCGCCACCGGATAAAACATTCAGCTTACCTGCCAATCGCTCTCTCGTTAGTCTAGGCTGAGCTGCCAGCAACAATATGTCTGCACCAAGACCCCCAGCCAGACCACCGGTTAGAGCCAGTTGCTCCGTACCGTCGCCAGTTGGTAAATTGGGGTTGGTAAAGTCTCGCGATTTGTCATTGTTGTATTTTACGTTGAGAGAAGACATTTTGGAATAGTCTATTCTTAGCGTGCAGCAACTATTGTAAACATTTTGACCATCAAGGGCTTGTTTGGCTGCTTGAGCTGACTGTGTATCCGGATACTGGATTAACGCTTGGAACGAATCTGCAATTTAATGCGCAAATTGGAAATCCGCGGTGCCAGCCACATCTTTCAAAAAGAACTTACTGTTTTTCGTGAAAGTGACTATTTTTAGAACCTTTCCGAATCGCTGAAAAATCTAAAAAATAAAATAATCGCTCGAATTTAAAGCGTTATGTGACAGAAAAGGCTTTACCAAATGTAAAATATCCAAACTGATTGGGTATATCATGTGCTCGACAATAACCCTGAGCACTGTGTTGGGACCCCCTTGAATATCCTGTCCGTTTGTAACAGGCGTGGTGGGGGTGGTCGTGTGTGAATTTTGTGTAATTGCCAATGCCTGAGCGGCATGCAGAGCTGCTTGAGCTGAAGCATTCTGGAATAAAATATTAGTATCATTCAGGATAAGATGTTTAAATTTCGGAACGTTGAAGAAGAGCACCGAACAGCTTGACTAGTTAATTCGTTAGTCTAGATCTTCGTCGCCACGCAGTTAGAAAAGGTTGATGAAATCAATATAAATGCAAATATTTTCATAAAGCCGAAATAACGAAAAATCTATAGAAACTATGGATGGATTTATTTATTTACTAACTCTAACTGTTCATTTAACATAACAACTAAATCCAACAAGTTAATGAAAAACAAATTCTATAACAAATGTTCGAATAAATAAGTACATAAGTACGCCCGTCTCACGGTAGACTCCAAAACACGACTTAACATTTCAGGAGTAATTTTATTAAACGCTGCTCGTACTGATTGACGTAATTGTTCCTCGTTGTCAAAACATTCTTTGAATACCTCATTTTTTATGTAGCCCCATAAGAAAAAGTCCAAGGGAGTTAAGTCCGGGGACCTTGGAGGCCAAGGTGTTTCACTGTAAGTCCCAATGTATTTTCCATCAAACCGTTCAGTTAAATATTGGCGAACTTCTCTGGAGTTATGGGCTGGGGCACCATCTTGTTGGAACCAGCAGCCTTGCACAGCGCCTAGCGGTAAATCATCTAAGGCATCTTCTAAATCGTGCCTCAAGATGTCAAGGTACCGCTCGGAAGTTAAGGAATTATTATAGAAAATAGGGCCTATAATCTTGCTACCAAAAATCCCACACCAAATATTAAACCCAAAGCGAACTTGATGTCTGGATAGTCTATTAACACGTGGATTTTGATGCGACCAATAGTGTGTATTGCGCCTGTTATAAATACCGTTATTGGTCACCATACTTTCATCAGACCAAATCACTTTATATGGAAAATTAAAACTCTCATCACACATCCTGGTATACCACTCACAAAAATGTCTACGTCGTTCGTCGTCACCCGGTTTTAATCCTTGACATATTCTGAATTTGTAAGGCTTAAATTCATTTTTCCTTAAAATAAACTGAGCTGTAGATTTAGCTACCCCATTCTGGTCTTCAATTTCTCTGGTCGAAGTTTGTGGATTTTCGATAACAGATTGTAGAACAATGTATTGGTTTTCTTCATTGGAAGGTTTTTGTCGGGATAATGCAGGCTTCTTAAATGATCCATATTCTTTCAGATTAAATAACAAACGCCGAAAAATACTCTTGTCAGGTTGTCTCCGCTCTGGGTATTTGTTAGAATACATACGCTCGGCTTCCACACAATTTCTTTGGCATCAGATGTAGCAAGACAGCATATCACATTTTTCTTCGTTTGTAAAATTACCTCCCTCCATTGTAGAACAAAATAAATTAGAAAAAGACAACAACAATAAAAATACAAAAACAATAACTAAAGGAATAAACTTATGATCGACTGATAACAAAGACAAATAACATTAATGTGTCATTGAAATTGACTGGATGTCATTTTGTCATGGCCTACTCCATGTGTACTTTTTTTCCGTTCCATAAGAAAAATCAAAGTTGATGGTGGTTCCATGGAATCGAAACGCTGTAATGAAAATTTGTTAACGTCAATTTGGAGAGATTAAAAAGTGCCAATGGAAAAGTGTTTTCCGTTTTTTCATATCTTTTCAAATAGCTTTAAAAAATAATAAAAACGAAATCGCAATATTTCGGTTTTTCTCGGATATTTCCGGAACGGCTTGGAATTTTCAAATTTGTAAAACGGGATCTTGTTCGGTATCAAAATGCGCAACTTTTGTCTAATTTAACCGACACTGTATCTCTTATAGTTTCCGAGATCCCCATGCTGTGCATCCTTATCTTGGACACACTGTATATATATATATATATATATATATATATATATATATATATATATATATATATATATATATATATATATATATATATATATATATATATATATATATATATATATATATATATATAATCGGCTGTTGTTTCGTTGTCAAAAAAATCCAAGATACTACTCGTTAAAATACCTCTAGGAACATCAACATTTTTAGTTAGATAAAGCAAAATTAATCCTTTACCATTACATTACGTTGCTAATTTTGAAAAATATCGCGTAAAAAGATAATATTGTAAAAAAGTTTTTCTTTTATTATTTAATACCAGGCGAAATGTATTTAGTGGATTAAGTGAATAGGTATACTAACTACGTCAACGTATGTCAACAACGTGACGTATTTAAAAGAATTCAAAACAATGGCGCAGTGCAAAGGCGCATGCATATAGCAAAACAAAAATTCCAGAATCCTCGCAACGATTTAATGTCAGAACGCCGCTTCATCTCTATAATCGACGTCCTTTTTACTTTATTTTTCAAGCACCAAGATTAATTTCAGTTTTACACAATGGAGCATTGTACGCTGATGGACTGATTTACCTCTCCGACGTTGAACATATACGCATAATATACATGCATACATAGGAACGATAATATTCACCTGGTCGTGTCATATTAATTTGGTGAGTTTCGTGCTGCACAAACACAGGCAGGCGGCTTAGAAGCCTATCTATAATTATTATTCCCAAGGAAAATGTTTTTTTTTTCTATACAATTTTAAAACACAACGATACACAGAGGGGTCGTTCATCGAACTAGGTATTTGGAAAATAAATGTTGATTATCGAGATTTTAAATGCCCGGATGCCCGGGGGTATATTCAATGGTCCCTCTCAATATTTTTTTCACGGTGGCTTCAAAAGTTTATGTTTTTCGCAGGCTCGTAGAAAAAACGTGATCGGAAACTGAAATTTCCAATCACTGCCAAATAAAATAGTGTGACAACAAACCATAACTTAATTTGTAAGTCTTCCTATAATATATCCAAACTTATATTTTTACGATTACCAGAAGTACCATCACATAGATTTGCTTGAACCCACCTCATTTATTTCTGGAGATGAGAATTCAATATTATTATTTTATATCTCAGGTTTATACCTGGCATTTTGCTATAAAAGTGTACCACGTTTAGTACACGATTATCATTTAGCATTATCGCCCGACATTTCTCTAGAATCGGTATTCACTCAGGGTACTTCTATCTTCTATATATGGCTAAAATGCGCAAAAACGAAAAATACTAAATGTATAGTTTACATTTAAGTATTTAGTACATTAATAAGTGTGCTGAAATGTCGTTCTCGATAGGAATCTTTAAAAATTAAATAGAGCAGGAATCAGTAATCAAGATTTCTCGTTGCGGTTTATTATTTGAACGCATTTGGCCCGACACAAAGGACGAAATTACAGTAATTAGTAAAATCGATACGCATTAGTGGAAACGTTCCATTATTTACAAAAAAAGAAAAAAAAAACAATGTTTGATTTAATAAAACTGGACCCGATTCAAAATAACTTGTAAAGACGAGCAATTAAAAGTACATTACGACCGAAACAGTCAACTGCATCAAGAGTTATTGTAGTGTTTTTTTTCCACAAGATAGATTTGCCCTTTTGGATCCTTTACATAAAACTAAAGTTTCTTGTTGGGATTCGATTTTCTGCCTATTTTTTTGCCGTACCGTAAATTTGGTTATATTGGGTGATCAATTATGCAGGTCACTGAAAAGTAATTATCGTAAAGGCTTGGAGTGAAAAACTAATAAAAAGGGCTTTTCTTAGGCGATCAACGCTCGCCTGAGTGGAGTGATGTCACTTGACTGTATCACCGCTAGGGAACGTTTTGCGACATCACTACAAATAAAATTTATTTTCTCAAAAGTATAAATAGACAAATAAGGGTCTAACATTCTAGTTAAAGGCACATTTCGATATCTATTTCCTAATCAGTAAAAGAAATAAAAACAAAATAATATCACCATCTTTGGAAATACCTGCCATTAGTAAATACTAATACTCGTTCTCTAGTGGTCAAAGGAGTCCGGAGTAGGCGCAATGCTGACAGGGTATACAAATCTCGAGAACTGTCCACTCAATCTAAAAGTTAAAATTGATACCTGTTATACAAATGACAGGAATAGGGCGATGGCGAATCTCCAGCGCCACAAAACCGGAGCTCATTGGCTAAGGTTGAGTGAGTATCCAGGGTGGGCGTTTGAGCGACAGGCCTGTCATCCGGAAAACAATAACATGCTGAACATTTTTCGACTGAAACCCTTGGTACCAGGACGGATCAAATCGAAAACGACAAACTCAGCGGAAAAAGACTTTGCAACTAGCCACGTGGAATGAACAAGGAATAAGGACCAAACAATAAGTGTTTGAGGAAATAAAGAGAATGGAGATCGATATTTGCGAGCTAATCGAGACAAAAAAAAAGGCAAAGGAACGGAGACCGTGGGAGAATGCAGCCACATTTATAGTGGTATAAGCAAGATACCTAGAGCAAGTTGAGGCGTCTCGATATACATAAAATATTTATAATCAACATAAAAAAAAACGATAATGCAGACGCAATAAGAAAAGATCCATTTTTCGCACACGCACATTAAATGCAATAAAGATGCGATAAAGAACTATATTTATCAGGAGACTTCAACTCAATTCGGAAAGGAGGTAGGATAACAAACGACATTGCTTTCAGACTAAGAGACATGTGCAACTATGAATGAAGATTGTGGATGGTTTTTTTCCTCAGAAAGACATTCTTAAATTTATGTGGATTCAACCAACTTGCCAGCTACGTTCCAGAATTTATTATCTTATACAGCAACCAAACTCAAAAGTAAGGGTCTCGAGTTGGGCAGAATGTGGATCACCTATTGGTGGGTGCAGACAGCAATACACTGAAGTCGATACAGCTTTACAAGACAAATACGTGTGCGTAGAAACAAAAAAAAATTTAAAAAAATTCATGCAAGATTTCTGTGCAAATAAGATTAGCCAATAAACTAATGCATATAAGAACGTTGTATCAACAAACAAAGCAATGTGTTCATGAATACATTTTTCCATATCTAAATAAATGAGTGGTACGAAAAATTTTAGGTTAAACTAACCTAAA